CATCAGCATCATCATCATCATCACCATCATCAGCATCATCACCATCACCACCACCTTCATTATCATCAGCAGCAGCAGCATCAGCATCATCATCAGCATGACCCATCATCATCAACATCATCGGAATCAGCAGCATCATCATTAGCATCATCATTAGCATCATCATGACCATCACCATCACCATCACCATCACCATCACCATCACCATCACCACCACCATCACCACCACCACCATAATCATCATCATCAGCATCAGCATCAGCATCAACATCATCATCATCATCATCAACATCATCATTACCGACAACATCACTATCACTACCACCACCACCACCACCGCCATCATCACCACCATCCTCACATCAAAACATACCACAACGTACACATCAATAACATAGTAAACCACAACGTAACATACCATAACATGGCACTCCATACCAAACCATAACATACAATAAAGAAAAACATCGCCTGTCGAAATACCCAGCCATATGCAGTTGTGGGTACCGCAATTGTGAATCTCTCCTTCGGTGGCTTTCCCTATAGGGTCACGAAGCGCTGTACTGGGTGGGTGAAGCGCAGGGAGCAAGGGCCGGGTTGGGTGGTGGCGGACGCATGCGGGCGGTGCCACTGGGACCATTGCGTGGAGCTCCCTATGGGGGCACGAAACGCTGTACTGGGTGGGTGAAACGCAGGGAGCAAAAACTGTGCTGGGTGGTGGCGGACGCATGCGGGCGGTGCCACTGGGACCTTCGGTGGAGCTCTGTATGGGGCCACGAAGCGCTGTACTGGGTGGGTGAAACGCAGGGAGCAAGGGCTGTGCTGGGTGGTGGCGGACGCATGCGGGCGGTGCCACTGGGACCTTCGGTGGAGCTCCCTATGTAGCCTATGGGGCCACGAAGCGCTGTACTGGGTGGGTGAAACGCAGGGAGCAAGGGCTGTGCTGGGTGGTGGCGGACGCATGCGGGCGGTGCCACTGGGACCTTCGGTGGAGCCTCCTATGGGGCCACGAAGCGCTGTACCGGGAGGGTGAAACGCAGGGTGCAAAGGCCGTGCTGGGTGGTGGCGGACGCATGCGGGCGGTGCCACTGGGACCTTCGGTGGAGCTCCCTATGGTGCCACGAAGCGCTGTACTGGGTGGGTGAAACGCAGGGAGCCAGGGCTGTGCTGGGTGGTGGCGGACGCATGCGGGCGGTGCCACTGGGACCTTCGGTGGAAACCCCTATGGGGCCACGAAGCGCTGTACTGGGTGGGTGAAACGCAGGGAGCAAGGGCCGTGCTGGGTGGTGGCGGACGCATGCGGGCGGTGCCACTGGGACCTTCGGTGGAGCTCTGTATGGGGCCACGAAGCGTTGTACTGGGTGGGTGAAACGCAGGGAGCAAGGGCTGTGCTGGATGGTGGCGGACGCATGCGGGCGGTGCCACTGGGACCATTGCGTGGAGCTCCCTATGGGGCCACGAAACGCTGTACTAGGTGGGTGAAACGCAGAGAGCCAGGGCTGTGCTGGGTGGTGGCGGACGCATGCGGGCGGTCCCACTGGGGGCTTCGGTGGAGCTCTCTATGGGGCCACGAAACGCTGTGCTGGGTGGGTGAAACGCATGGAAGAGGGAGGAGGGATGAGGAGGGGGAAGAGGAGGAGAGGAGGAACGCGGGGACCGTCTCTTCAAAACGAAGACCCAACATCACAGGATGGTTGGGGAAGAAAGGAGGAGGAGGAGGAGGAGGAGGAGGAGGAGGAGGCGGGAGTGAGGGAATTGGCGCGGTCGGAGTAAGTATTCATGGCGTGGAGCGCACCATGTGTGCATATACTTATTCGCATGGACCTGTCCGCCGTGAGTGACCAGGCGCAAGAATTATCGAACATTCACGGGCTTGAGTACTGACGGTCTGGGAGCGAATCTAACTGAAAATGAGTTGGAGTGTGAATGAGTCTCAGTAATGCGAGCGCGTCTCTGCGAACGAATGAGCCCGGGGCCTCCTCGGGACTCCTGAAACTTCCTTGTGCTTCCTAGGGCCTCCTGGAGCCTCTGGGGGCCCTCTTGAGGCCTCCTGGGGCCTCCTGAAACATCCTGAGGCTTCCTCGAGCCTGCTGGAGCATCCTGGGGCCTCCTGGGGAGGATCCGTGCCCCAGGAGATGTCCAATATGTAAGAACAGACGTATATGAAGCACTATGGATTGGAGCCGCAGGAGAAGGGCAATCTATAGGAACACACGTAAAACACCAAGGACTCGTGCGCATATGGGAAGCCCAGTCTATAGGAACATACGTAAAACACTTAGGATTGGATACACAAGAAAAGGACAATCTATAGAAACATACGAACAACAACACCATGGATTCGTACTCCAGGAGAGGCACAATCTATAGGAGCATACATAAAACGCATGGGATTGGAGCCACTCCTGTGGCCTTCTGAAGCCTCCTGCTCCAGGGGCCACTTGGGGCCTCCTGGTGCCTTCCGGGGCGTCCTGGTGCCTCCTGGCGCTTCCTGTGACCTCCTGGGGCCTCCTGGGGCCTCCTGGGGCATCCTGGAGACTCCTGAGGCCTTCTGGAGCTTCCTGGGACCTCCTGGAGCCTCTTGGGGCATCCTGTGGCCTCCTGAGTCTTCCTGTGGCCTCCTGATGCCTCCTGGGACCTTATGATACCTCCTGGGGGAGCTTCCTCGAGCCTGCTGGAGCCTCCTGTGGCATCCTGGGGAGGATCTGTGTCACACAAATCTGGCGGCCCAACCAGGCAAACCGATCGAGATATCCTCAACATCTGGGCCCCAATGGGAGAGAAAATGAGCGCCTCGCTCGAGACATCCTCCACATCTGTTCCGAAAGCGGAGGATGTTGCGCATGCAAACAGGGAAATCGCTCGAGACATCCCCGCCAGTTTGGCGCGAACGGAGGAGTGCAATACCCCCTGGCGGCTCCCCCTTGGGGGTGCTGAAACCGCGCCTCGCTCCAGACATCCTCAGAATTTGCAACGCCATCATCATCATCATCATCATCATCATCATCATCATCATCATCATCATCATCATCATCATCATCATCATCATCATCATCATCATCATCATCATCATCATCATCATCATGGTCATCACCATCATCATCATCATCAACAACAACATCATCATCATCACCACCACCACCACCACCAGCAGCAGCAGCAGCGTCAACATCATCATCACCATCACCATCCTTGTCATCAGATAACCTATCATATCATACCAACACATACCATAGCATAGCATATCACGCAACACCATTGTATACCATATCATGTCAGAACCTAAGCTAACACGGTACAGCATACCATAACACATCATACCATAACATAGCATAACATGCCATACCATAGCAAACAATAACTTATCATGGCATGATGAGGAGGAGGAGAGAGTGGGAGTTGGCGCGGTTTGAGTAATAGCAAGAACCCCATCCTCTGGATATAGGGAGTCGCAAAACAACCCGTCCTGTGGATATGAGAAATATCAACAACACATGCTTCGGAAATGGGGAATAGCAAAACCCCATCCTTTGGATAAGGGGGAAAACACATCGGTACCAGAACTGCTTGGAGCCAGGCAGCGCCTTTTGGAGTCCAGCATCTTTTTGCTAGACAGGCCCAGACCCCAGGCTGGCGCGAAGAGCTGTACAGAACCCTCGTCCAGACGTGTCGTGCCCCTCCTCAGGCAGATTTCACATGATCGTTGGTGCTAGACATGCCCCTTTGCTGCACGGCGTGAAACAACTGACCTGCCCACGTCGCGGGAAAGGGGAAATGCGCGGGAAAAGAGCCGACGCGATCCGCGTCGGCTTCCCAAGAAGAATGCTGGTAGCGCGATGCGCGTCGGAAGCGAGCTGGCGCTCTCGGACTACGCTTCCTGCCGACAACGCTGTCAACGCGAAACGCACCAGAAGCGAGCCGACACGATCGGAAATGAATTCCCGCAAACTTCGCTGGCAAGACGACGCGCGCTCTGCGCGAGCCGGCACGCTCGGAGAGAACTTCTTTGCAAGAGGTCTGGCACCGAGAAGGGCGCCGGAAGCCAGCCCGCACGCAGGAAGCAAAAGCCTCCTGCGCACAGTGCGAGCAGCGCGATGTGATCTGGGATGCGATCTAACTTCCCTGTACCAACGCCAGCAATGCGAATGTCCCGAGGTTCCATCGCGGCCTTCCCAGGGCCTCCTGACCCACCATTCAGAGCCGGCGGAACTGGCCACAAGGCCTCTCGGACAAGTGGGCCGAGGAAGGACGAGGCGAGGATGGAAGGGGTTGGGAACTAGGTCGGGCGTGTCCCCCTGCAGGCGGATTTTGGAAGACAAAACGAAAAGAGTCAAAAATAGTCAAAAGGCGTCCCCAGACTATCTTAAAACTATGTTTGATGATTCCTCCTGTAGAGGGACATGCCCGACTTCAGAGTCGAGCCCGAGGGCTGGGCCACACCGACAAGGCGAGGCAGACAATTCGGGCGTTCGTGAACGGGGGGGGGGAATCACCAGACGGCGAGTGCAGAGCCGCGCGCCTCTCCAGCACCTTTATTGCCCCCGCGGTCGCAGCTTTGGGGGCGTTTGGACAAGACGAAACCAGGACATGGACAAAAACAAGTCGGACCAGGATGGGGATTTTGAGATACAATGGAGGTCAGTGCACAAGAAACCTTCCACAAGAAACCCAACCGTGAGACCCCAAAGCGTCCATTGATTCTTGGTGTGGGGACGTCGCGCTTTCCACCGCAGAACCATCGAAACCCAAGGAATCCCCAAGGCACCCTAGAGGCAAGCAGGGTGTTTCTTGACATGGGCCGCCACTGTAAACTGCGTTTCTCGAGGATGCATCGGGCGCCTCGGCCATTCCAGAGCGTGCCAAAAAGCCCTGGACGATGTCCCTCCCCAGGCCCCGGCCGATTCGGGACCCTGTGGGGCAACTTCCTCTGCAACCCCGATCCTTCCTCATTCGCTGTCCCCACCCCCGCCACCGAACGCCCGAAAGAGAGGCGCGTGGGCTCCGAGATCCGGTTGCCCGACAGGATCAGCACCTCGAGCCTGCGCGGGGCGACGGCCAGGGACCAATGCAGTCGAGGTCGCTTGGAGGGAGCACGCGAGGCGACGCCAACGCGGGGAAATCGGGCTCAACATCGAGCCGCATCGCCGAAACATCGGCGATGCGGCGCGATCCTCCGATGACATTTAACCCGGCCCCATCTGGGAGACCTAGAAAAACAATACGAAGGCCACGTATTCAGGGGAACGAACGTAGAAGGCATGGGTCGCGAAACGCAGGAAACACAGGCACCCATGATATAACAAGGTCGACCTACGAATCAACCGCGGTTGTAGAGACCGGCGGGCGGCGAGCCACGCCACGCCCGAAGTGCCAAACGAGCACATGCTCAGCAGAGTCATGACGCCCAGATGACCCCCGTAATACTTGATGGGTCCATTTTCCACCACCATCGCCATAGGTAGGAGAGGGAGGAGGAGGAGGAAAGGAGGAGGAGGAGGAAGAGGAGGAGGAGGAAGAGGAGGAGCGGGAGGAGGAGCAGGAGGAGGGGGAGGCGGAGGACGACGAGGCGGAGGAGGCGGAGGAGGAGGACCTCCTCATCCTCCCTTCTCCCCCGTCCTACATATGGTCGCGGTGGTGGAAACTTTGCCCATCAGCGCTGGTTCTTGCAATGACCAGCACCGTCCCGAGGATTGAAAGGGGGGGGGGGTGCGGCTCGTCGGGGCGGGGGAGGATCCTCTCGCCCCACCTCAGTCCATCCTCTCGCACTCCTCTTGTGACACCGGATGGTCTTAGACAACTGGGGATCAAGACGGCAATGTGCGATTGAACAAATATGAAGAAAAACAGTTTTCCTAGCTTCTGCTTCGCTTCCGAAGCGACGGGAACGCGCGCGCGATGGGCGACGTCGAACCCGCGGCGGCGACGCGCTAAGTAAAAAACCGCAGCCCCGCGTGCCAATAAATCAACAAGGTATGCCGCACGGGTTATGCACGCGACGCCACGGCGATGGTCGCGGCGCGGACTTGCACGCGACACACCCCAATGCCTCTTCCACCTTTTCCTCCTCAGCCCCTTCATCAGCCTCCCCCTTCACCGTCTCGATCCCTCCTCTTCCTCCTCATCCTCCTCCTCCTCCTCCTCCTCCATTCGTCCTGCGTCGTTTTTGTTGACGCTCCCGGGGCCCGGCGAGGAACCCCAGGGGGCAAAAACTATGAGAAACTTCTCATCCTGTTTTTTTCAGGACGCGAGCATGTCTGGGTTACGTGAGCTCCGAATTCTGACCTCGCACCGTCGGCACTATGCAAGTGCAACCTTTCGCAACGCCCGGGCCTGCCTGTTCCACCTGCCTCCTTCTGCTGCTTGCCACTCTGCGCGGAGACGGGGCAGCAGCAGCAGCAGCCATCCAGCACACGGGCGTTGCCTATGGACCTCCGCCTGGACGTGTCCACGTTCAGCGCATTCAAACAAATGCCCGCTGATAGTCCACATCGCGTTGCCTTGCGTTGCAACTGCCACTGCCGCGTCCGCATGCCACTGCCACTTCAGCACACCGTCATGACAAAGCATGAGAGGCCGAAAACATGGTCACGCGCACCGAACACGGCCCGATGTTCTTTCAAGCTTGCGTCGCGACCCCAAAGGTATGCGGCATGCGGCAAAATGTTCCCGCGTTGAAAACCGTATGCAGCACCATCTCCATACATTCTAACAAGGCTTGGACGTGTAGAGGCGCGTCCTTCTACACCTGGTCGGCACTGGCGGAAATACTCGCCACAAGCTTACAGTCCGCCCGCAGGCCACGAGCAGCGCGCTGCCACGTCCACTTATTGTTCTGGACACAACAGTGCGGCAAAGAAACGCTCCCGAGGAACACGTTGCCCGTCGCACCCTGGCGCATGAGCCGACTGCTTCGTACTTGAACGCCCCGAGGAACATGTTGCCCGACGCAACCTGGCACATGAGCCGAGTGTTTCGTACTTAACGTCTGTGTCCCCAGCGTGAGTAGCTGCCACAAGGCAGACTAAGGGCTGCCAGAGTACCCGCATTACGTCGGGAGACATCCCCAAATGGCTGCTGCAAAAACCACACGTGTGCTTGTGATTAAACATTGGATGCCGTCCTCCGTTTGGCTGATGCATGGGCCCGCCTGTCGCGAAACTGAGATGTTAACCACGCGCGCAATACTAGTCGCAGCTGCACGGCATCATCAAGACGATTGTATTCCATAAAGAAATGGCAACAAAGATCGTACACACCAGAGGCGATATATTGTCCTTTTATCGTGCTGATGACACGCGTCGTCGCCGTGGCCGTCACCGTCGTCTACGGCGGCCCTGGGCAGCACCCGCACCCCGCCATGGGACACCCGCACCATCGTCGCCTTCGCCGTCGTCGACTACAGAGGGCCTGCGCAAACCCCCTCCCCCCTGGGGTTTCCGCAATGCGTCGTCGTCCGTCGTCGCCAGTGCTGTCGCCGTCGATTACGCGGGCCTGCGCCCCCCCCCCCCCCCCAGGGCATCCGCAGAGCGTCGTCGTCCGTCGTCCGTCGCCGTCGTCGACTAGTCGTCATCCGCCCGTCGTCGTCGTCGACTACAGCTGGTCTGCGCATACACAATGCGTTTCGTCGTCGGTCGCTGTGTCGGTCGGTCGGCCTTCGTCGTGGACGCCTCGTCCTCCTCGTCCCCCAACACAAGGCGTCCGCATCGCGCCCGCGGCGGCGGGAAGGAAGCGGCAACGACGGTGGAAGCTCGCACTTGGGAGGCACCTGCGGGTAGCCCAGGAAAGGGCACTTCAGAGGTACCCGCGGGCTGCCCAAGAAAGGTACTCCGGAGGCACACGCGGGCAGCCCAGGAAAGGCACTTAGAAGGTACCTGCGGGCTGCCCAGGAAAGGTATTCAGGAGGTGAGGCTCTCACCTTAGCGCAGCGCATCCTCGTCTTCAGAAAGTGTAAGAGCGTCACGGATTGAGAGCGGCTCGTTTTCAAAATGTGGCTCTCGCCTCAGCGCCGCGCGCATTCGCCTTGCACAGTTGCAAAGCCTTCACGGAGTTCGGGGGGGTCGGTTTCAAACTGTGGCGCTCGCCTTAGCGCCGCGCACACCCGTTTTCAAACTTGAAAAGGTATTCACGGATTCCCATGGTCAGCGTACAAGATATGATGGTTTGGACGGGTTCAGGAATGTGAGGGTGTAACAGTTACGTTGATTCGCGGTGTTGAAGTCCAAAGAACAAATTGTGTTCTGCCACGATTCAGGATCATCAAGACCCAATAGTCAGACTGATCCGTGGCGTCGGAGTCCCGAGAATGGTGGTCTAGCATGCTTCAGGGTCTTCAAACGGTTGTCCCCAAACGAGGCGGCTCCCGCAGAGGAAATGAGCCCATGAAGAGGCCTTCGAAGACGGGGGTTGGAGGGAGGGTTTATTTCAGCATCGTTGATGAGTCTTGGACCTGCAATGGTCCTCATCCTCCTCCTCATCTTCCTCTTCTTCCTCCTCCTCCTCCTCCTCCTCCACCTCCACCTCCACCTCCTCCTCCCTCCTCCTCCCCCTCCTCCTCTTCCTCCTCCTCCTCGTCCTCCTCCCCCTCCTCCTCCTCCCCTCCTCCTCCTCCTCCTCCTCCTCCTCCTCCTTCTCCTCCTCCTCCTTCTCCTCGTCCTGCTCCTCCTCTTCCTCCTCCTCCGTCCCTTCCCCTTCCTTTGGAGGCGGCCCCCGAAGGAACCGCCCCAGTATGAGTCCCACAAGGTCAGCCTCGGGTGGGGTCAGCAGCGGGCGGCGCTACTGCCACTTCCGCCACCGCGCTGACCTCCACCAAAGACCTGCCAGCCTCGGGCGCGCCAGGCCCGCGAGAGTCTGCAGGCTCAGCAGGGCCGAGCACGCCCTGCATGCGATACAACTCCTCGGGATCCTCGACTTCAGAGGCGACGAAACGAAGGCCTTTCCCTCTTCCCAGATAACCCTGGCAGCTCGAACAAATCGCCCCACCTCCATCTTGGAGGGAGGGAGCGACCCCGTCGCGTGCCAGAAAGTGTGGGAAGGAAAGGGGTGAGGGGGTGGGGGAGGGGTAAGAAAAGGGGGAGGAGGAGGAGGAGGAGGACGAGGAGGTGGAGGAGGAGAAGGCAGAGGAGGGGAGGAGGGGGGGGAGGAGGGGGAGGAGGAGGAGGGAGGGGAGGGGGAGGAGAGGAGGAGGGGGAGGAGGGGGGAGGATGGGATGGGGATGGGGATGGGATGGGGATGATGATGATGATGATGATGATGATGATGATGATGATGATGATGATGATGATGATGATGATGATGATGATGATGATGATGATGATGATGATGATGATGACGGCGACGATGATGATGCTGATGATGAGGAGGAGGCGGAGGAGGAGAAGGAGAGAGAGAGGAGGAGGAGGAGGAGGAGGAGTGAGGAGGAGGAGGAGGAGGAGGAGGAGGAGGAGGAGGGAGGAGGAGGAGGAGGAGGAGGAGGAGGAGGAGGAGGAGGAGGAGGAGGAGGAGGAGGAGGAGGAGGAGAGGAGGAGGAGGAGGAGGAGGAGGAGGAGGAGGAGGAGGAGGAGGAGGAGGAGGAGGAGGAGGAGGAGGAGGAGGAGGAGGAGGGAGGAGGAGGAGGAGGAGGAGGGGAGGAGGAGGAGGAGGAGGAGGAGGAGGAGGAGGAGGAGGAGGAGGAGGAGGAGGAGGGAGAGGCTGCCCCTCCTCTTCCTCCTCCGAACAGCGCCTGCGGGGGGGGGGCCTTGGCAGGCCGGAGACCGCCGGCAGCCTCTCGAGCTGGTTGTGGCCGAGGTCGAGCTCCTCGCCCCCGCCGCCGCCGCCCGTCGACCGTCGCCGCCCCTGGCGCCGCTGCGGGGCTGGAGCTTAGCCACGCCCGCCGCCCTGGCAACCGACGTCCTGCGACCGCGGGAGGACAGTGGGCGCGGACACGTGTGGGCCCCCAGGGGTCCCAACACATCCATCGCCATCACCCCGCCTCCTCCTCCTCCTCCTCCTCCTCCTCCTCCTCCAACTCCCACTGCTCATCCCCATCCCTACTTATCCCTCCTGCTCTTCTTTTATTATTATTGTTATTCGTAGTCGTGTTGTTATTCGTATTATTGCTGTGTTTTATTTATTCGTCTTAATGTTATTATTTGTTATTCCTCTTCCCCTCCACCTCTTCCACCCCAATCACCGTCACATCCCCCCGCCCCCTTCGAGCTACCGCTGTGTGCGCAGACGCGGGGGGAGGGAGTCGGGGCGGGGGGGAACCAAAAAATACCGACACCGCTACTCCCGGGACCTCACCTGGGCTGCGTTCTGACCAGGATTTCGTTGCGAATTCAGCGGTGGCGACGAGGGCGTCCCAGGCCCCCAAAAAGGGGAAAACGAGGGAAGGGCAACGGTGTGGGTATCTTTCCTTCTCCGAGAACCAGGGCACCCCCAAACCGAGGCTCTCCAGCCGAGCTCACCACTCGGAGACTGCGCGGGCTGCAGGCAGCAAGGGCACCAACACCCATGGGCCAACCTCGCCATCGCGCAACCCGCCGCGCGGCGCGCCAGGATAATCAGGCCACCTCCCCGCCTTCTGAGGCCACTCATGGGAGTCTTCCATACCATCTTGGTGGCTCTTGATAATCAACGCTAATCGACGCTGGATCGGCTAATCAACGATAGTCGGCGATCATCGACGCTAGTCGACGCTAAATCGGCGCTATTGCATCCATTACCAGACGCTGATCGACGCCAGTGCACTGGAAAAACGAAATTGCGATGGTACACAAGGCTCTCCCATATTTTTCCCACGAAGGCAAGTCCATCAACATGGTGTTATCCCACGCGCGAGCCGTTCGCATCAATAGCAGAGTGAGACGAGATCGCGATGCATGTCCGCACCCCCACTTGGAGGGGGTGAAAGATCGAAGCTGCACACGATTTGCTACCGAACCTCCCCGCCCTCGTGCCACGAGGCAGCTGGAAGAGAACAGCTCCGCCGCCCAGGTCGTGACGCGACGGGCGCGACTCGGGGGCGGCCAAGACGGGGCCATCCAATAGGGCGGGGCGCAAATCATGGCCGGCGGCATGTGCGCGGCCTGGGGGGGGAAGGACGTGATGAAATACGGAGAGGCGCCATGAAATCTTAGGAAATATCATAGCCCATGCCATGATATCAGCCCCACCCACGTCATCACCGCCCCCTTTGCCGCCCCCGAGCGATGCGCGGCCGATCTTCGCGCCTCCGCCGGGCGAACCCCCTTGGGCGCCCGCGCCCGCGGGGACGGAGGCCACTGGCCGCCACAAAAGCCGTTGAAGCGCACACGTCCTGCAAATTGGGAAGAACCCGCTGGCCCCGCCACTGCGGGGATCGTCAGGCGACTGAGGGGCGCGTCCCGCGATCGGCGCGCGAGCTCCTCTTGGCCCACGGGCTGCCGAGGGCACCGACGGAAGGCCCGCATGGGGTGCCTCCTGCTGCCTCACCGGATGCGAAAGAGGCGGACGGTGCGGAAACACAAGAGGAGGAGGAGGAGGAGGAGGAGGAGGAGGAGGAGGAGGAGGAGGAAGCGGAGGAGGAAGAGGAGCATAAGGAGGAAGAGGAGGAGGAGGAGGAGGGATGAGGAGGGATGAGGAGGAAGAAGAGGAGGAGGCGGCGGCGGCGGCGGCAACGGACCAAGTTCGTCACGCGAGCGACCAGGCGGCAAGCTGAACGGCACTCAGAATGCGAGCGCAGATGTGTCATCTATCGGACGCAGAAGGCGAAACAGGTAACCTCCCCCCATGGAGGTGGGAGCCCCGAGTTGACTTCGCTCGACCACCGATGTAGAGAGAAACGGACAGGGCCCAAAAACATCAGAACTGACTGGCGTAGGCCACTAAGGCCTTGGAGCTCGGTATTGCTCCAGGCGTCGAGTGGGGGCGAGAGGAAGAAGGAGGCTTAGCCGAGGAGTGGGGGTCGAACGAGGAAGGGGGGGAGGAGGAGGAGGAGGAGGAGGGGGAGGAGGAGGAGGAGGAGGAGGAGAAGGAGGACGAAGCGGAGGAGGAGAAGGAGGAGGAGGAGGAGGAGGAGGAGCAGGAGGAGGAGGAGGAAGAGTTTTTCCCCACCGCAATACGCACACCGATGATCCTGATCCATAGTCCGTGGACTGCGAGGGCCACGCCGCGGCAGGCCAAGCCTGCCATAGTCGAGGGCCGTGCAGGAGGGGGAAGCAGCAGCAGCAGCAGAGGAGCAGCGAAAGAGGCGAGAGAGGACAGGGTACGTGAGGCCAGCGCGCAGCGAGATGCCGCTCATCGGCGACTCGCGGGAGGTACCGTGGTACCTCGCGCGCGGGGAGGGGCGGGACAGTCCCGCCCGCTACCGATCCTCCCGTACGAGAGTCCTCGGCAGCGGGGGGGCGCACTCGGCAACGGGGGAGGACAGAGTCCATGCCCCACAGGCCACGGGCGCTTGCGACCCAGGCCACCGTCACCTCGACCCACAACCCAGGCCCGAACACACGCCTAGACAAAAGTGAGAGGCAAGCACCCTTCCTCCCAGAGAGGCGCAACGGGCACAGTTGAACAGGTCGTCGACGGGGCGGGCGGCGGGGGCGGCAGGGAGCGGCGGGGCGGGTGCACGCGCGCCCGCGCGCGCGCTCCCCCAGCCAGGCGAAGACCCAACCCCAGCAGCAGCAGCACCAGCACAGCGGAGCAGCAGCAGCGAAGAGGACCGAGGGCGCGAGCAGGAAGGAAAGCAAGGGAAAGAGGGGAAGGCAGGGGCGGGAGAAAACCGGGGACCCAACAAAGCCCACCCCGCAGGGGAGAAGCAGCAGCAGGGGCAGGGAGGAGAAGGAAGACAGCAAGCGACAGGAGAGGCAGAGGAGGAGCACGAGCAGGAGGAGGAGCACGAGCAGGAGGAGGAGGAGGAGGAGCGCGAGCAGGGGGAGGAGGAGGAGAGGGGGGAGGAGACGGAAGAGGAGGAGGAGGAGGAGGAGGAGGAGGAGGAGGAGGAGGAGGAGGAGGAGGAGGAGGAGGGAGGGAGGAGGAGGAAGAGGAGGAGGAGGCGGCGGCGGCGGCAACGGACCAAGTTCGTCACACGAGCGACCAGGCGGCAAGCTGAACGGCACTCAGAATGCGAGCGCAGATGTGTGATCTATCGGAAGCAGAAGGCGAAACATGTAACCTCCCCCCATGGAGGTGGGAGCCCCGAGTTGACTTCGCTCGACCACCGAGGTCGAGAGAAACGGACAGGGCCCAAATAACATCAGAACTGACTGGCGTAGGCCACTAAGGCCTTGGAGCTCGGTATTGCTCCAGGCGTCGAGTGGGGGCGAGAGGAGGAGGGAGGCTCAGCTCAGGAGTGGGGGTCGAACGAGGAGGACCAGGGGCGGCGGCAGGGGTGGCTGGGGCGCTGGCCTCAATCACCGCGCGAGCGACTTCACTCGAGCAAGACTCTGAAATCCTTCTCGAACCCAACTGGATCCTGGAAGGCGGCTGCGAAATCGACCGCAGAGGCGTTTTTGACATCGTCGGCGGGGGAGGCTTTGAAATCGTCGGCTGTGTCGCAGTCGGCGTTCACCACGGAGGCGGTACCAAAGCACTGAGCGATCGTAACTCGTACCCCCCCACGAGCCCAGGTCGCGGCAGTCGAAACCTGTGGCACCACACTCGCACTCACCAGGACACCCTCTGGCGCAGTCCTCTCGATACCCCCACCGTCTTCGTCCTCAGCAGATCGAGGGGCCATCGCACAAGTAGTCACCTGTGGCTCAGCCCTCAGGGATCCAGCTCGTCTAGGGCCAGCTGGAGGACCCGCTCCGCGCTGCTGCGCGTGCGAGCCCTGGCCGCAGCTCGCCCCCCAGCTGGACGGCGCACGACTGCAGGCACCTCTGGAGGTCGGGGTCCGCAAGCGCGAACGTGAGCTTGGCTACCTTGTAGCAGCTGGAGATCCGCAATTCTTTCGCCAGCACGATCAGGTCGTCGTCGGCCATCCCGTCCAGCATCTTCTGCTTCTCCTGCCAGATCCTGGTACTGCGGGCGCCCACGCTGTCCCCCGCCTGACTCAGCTTCTTGGCCACTACCAAAAAGCTCTGCACGCACGCTGGTCCCATCTGAGCCTCTGGCGTCGGCTTCGACGGGTCTGGATGATGCTCGTCCCGAAGTTTGGCCGCCTGTCCAGCATACGCTTTGCCTGCATGGAAGGCCGCCACCGAGATGGGGAGCTCCTCGGGCAGCGTGATAGTCACGAACTCACGGGCTCCTCGGGCAACGAGTTGCCCAGCACCGCCCTCACCAAGATCGGCATGACCTTCGCCATTGTGTTGGCATCCATGGGGGGCAGCTTGTCGATCGCATCTGGCGGGAGGCCGTACGAGCGACCCACGGCCTGCTGTTGAGCCTCTCGCTTCTCTCTCCGTTGTCCTCGCTGGGCGGGAGGGCCTCTTGCGCCTGGGGCCGCCTGCGATGGGGACTGCCGCTGTCCGCTGCGATCTCCTGCACGTCGCCCTCCACCACGCTGCCGGGAAGTGTAGGCCGACCCAGAGCGGCCCCTCCGCGAGCCTCCTGCCCCTTGTCCCTTTGACCTCGATAGGCCTGCTGCGGCCTCGAGCGCCTCCTCGCTCAAGCGGTACATCGCCCGCGGAGGTAGTAGTAGAGACAAGAGGCTCTCGCGGGGTGTGGCTGCGGAGGTGTCGAGTCAGCTCAGCTCGATCCCGAAACGGCTCCGTACGAGCACAGCAATACCCAGATTGGTTATATCCGAAGATGGACCTCGCGGGGATGTCGGCCATAGGGCATTGGAGGCTATCGGGCTATTCAATGGCGTGGTGGTATGGTGTAGAGTTCGGTTGGCAACGTCCTTTCATCACTGCTGTAACGGCATGTTCTTGTGCAATGCGACGTGTACGAAACCCGAGCCCACAAAACATACACTCGTTCGTCAATATGATGGTGTGGATGACGGATCTGCATGCGTGTCCACCGTTTTTTGAAAACCTCTGATGTGCCAAGAGCGCCCTCCTAGAGCCGAAGACCTTCCCGCAGATGTGGCCGTCGTGACCTCGTAACTCGCATTACCAAAGCGCCTCAGGAGGAGGGGGGACCTCAGGAGCACCATCGGGGGACTTCAGGACCAGGACCATACAATCAAGCAGGAGGAGGTATTGCCACCGACTTCGCCTCGTCCCTCAGAACACCTGGGTCCATGGCGATGTACTGAGCTCTCAAGTCGGGGTCCATGAAGAGCGCCCTGACGTTGAGCCTCATGTGGGGGTCAGCAGACGCGCCCGAGAACAGCCAGGCCTCCAGGAGCCCGGACTCCGAGCGACGCACCAGGGCCCAGACGTCCCGAGCGAAACGGGCCGCGTACGGGTAGGAGGAGGAGGAGGAGGAGGAGAAGGAGAAGGAGAAGGAGAAGGAGGAGGAGGAGGAGGAGGAGGAGGAGGAGGAGGAAGGTTCAGATTGAGTTTCTCTGCTCGAATAGCGAGCCTCCGCCTCGCTCACCAGGACTGGCGCTGAATCCCGCTGCAGCTCTCCGGCGGTCCCGAGGCCCAGAGCCAGCCCGCAGGAGCCAGATATTGCGAAGGAGATGTGGCGCGATTTCTCCGAGTCGCCAGTGGCCTGGGGAGGAGGAGTAGGACGAGGAAGAGGAGGAGGGAGGCAGAAAGTAGGAGGGGGGAGCAGGGAGGAGGGACGGGGTAGGGAGGACGGACTGCAAGGCTGCAATGAAAACCTGGCGCGCGCCCGCTGATCAGGTGGCACCGCAAAGTTCAGCGAGGAGGGCGGAGGAGACGATCGAGCTTCGAGCTCCGAGGATCGGGCTCGAAGGATCGGGCTTCGAGGATCGAGCCTCGAGGATCGAGCCTCGAAGGGGGGAAGGGATGATCGAGCTTCGAGGATCAGGGCCCGATTACGTCTTGCAAGTTTGCTGAACCTCCAGGTGAGCATTCGCCGCCACGGCTGGACGAGGAGGTGCTCATGGTCCGATGCCCGCGAGGAACTGGTGAGGAGCAGCAAGAGGATGCCGAACGGGAGCGGCACCGGCCGAGCAGCTGGGAGACAACCCGTGTCGGGCCAACGCCCTGGCCCCAGAGCCCGGGGAGGGGGTGGAGGGGGCACAGTTGGGGCACGGCCACGAGAACGTGGGTCAAGAACTTGAGCTCCTTCGCCGCAGGCACCAAGGGCCCCAGGGAGACACCCAAGTCGAAGAGAGCTCCAGAATGAAGACCCCGAGGCCGAAGAACAGAAGGATAGCCTTCCAGAGCTAGGGGTGAACCAGGGCTCGACCGAAGCACTGGTGTTTGCTTTCGTTTTGGTTTCGTGCTCTTTCGTTTGTCTCCAACCCGTCTTTGCTGCAACGCGAAATCGAAACGAAAACGACCGACGAAATCAAGAAAAAGATAGTTCAGGTCGAACCCTTGAAGGATATCCTTCCAAAGCTGGGGTTGTTCTCAACCCTCGGGCCAGCTGCACGGCAAAGATGTGAACAACCAGAGTAGGTCTCTTCGAACGCACACTGACATGGATTACCGATCCGTGGAGCTGGCGAGCGGACGCCAGAGCTATGGGAACGGGACCCGCCGCGGACCGCGCGCCCTAAGCCATGTTTGCGCGTCCTCGATCTCTGGACACTCGCGTCCTCCCCCTCCCTTTTAACGGTCCGAGCTCTATACACCCGACGCTTGTGTCGGCCCTATGCTGAAATTGACACAGGACAACGGGTCCTGGTGTATACGGGACCCTGGTGTATATCTGTACCGTGGTTACCCCGAGAACACACCAACAAACCTATATACCACACTACCCCGACGTCGACTCCGACCCTCAATAAGTCCTGGGATTGAAAAACAGCCCGCACCTGGTAAGGCATATGTTCCAGTTTCCGATTTATACATATGTATATATATACACACACAAGTACCCTCCGACGAACCTTGCATGTACCTTCTGGGAGGGCGCCGGTAAATGTAAAAACGCTGGCTCTCAGTGGTGATCTACACCGCCAACCTCCCCTGAGGCCCAGGAGCAGTCCATTGGAGGGTGTCGGCGTGTACGTTGTTGTGTCGGATACCCCGAGATCCGACTTGACTAAAAAATGCAACTGTATACGTTTTCGTTTCCGATATTCTCCCCCATCGAATCTCGGAGCCTCCTGAACCGGCCAGAAGCCCCCCTGCTCCACTCCGCTGCGCCGCCTCGCCTCCCAAGGCTAACAGGGAGCGACGAGGGCAGGGGGCCTGGGAGGCATGCACTGGGGGGGGGGCCCTCCGTGGTGCCAGAAGGCCTTGGGGAGCCCTCGTCTTCCCGACCCATCTCCTCAACCTCCTCCCCCCTCCAGGTCCCCCCCCCCTCATCTTCCTCTCCCCGTGTCCTCGTCCTCCCTCTCCCCCTCTCCGTGGTACCGGATCCCCCTTGGGAACCCTCGGCCTCCCTCTCCTCGTCCTCCTCCTGGAGCTCGGACTGCTTCCGCAGGGTCCAGAAGGCGCCCAGGGGGGCCTCACGAGGAATCCTCGCCCTGCCCCCTCGACCCCCGACGCCAGGATGCTTCTCTCCGGACGTGGGCGCCCCGAGGTCTCGACCCCTTCCCTGGGACCGCCGCCTTACGCCGAGTTGCCTTCTGACACCTCTGGGGCCGTCTTGGGGCTGCATTGGGGACCTGTTGGGGCCGTCGTCCACGCCGTGAAAACAGCAAAATCGCATGTGCTGAAAATGCACGTTTCCTCCGGAGAATCAATGATTTGGGGCTCGTGGGGCCCTGTGGGTGAGCCTCTGGGGGGCCGTTTTAGGCGTCTTGGCGGCCTGTAGGGCTCTCTCCCGGAATTTTCGCTTCGTTGTCCCCCTCCTGGGTCCCTCTTGGGGCCGCCTTGGGGCTCTCTTGGGCCTCGTGGGCCGTCTTGGGACCCCCTCGGGCCGTCTTAGGGGCCTCTTGGGAGCCTCTGGGGCCGTCTTGGGGCTACATTGGGGACCTGTTGGGCCGTCGTCCATGCCGCGTAAGCAGAAAATTCGTATGTGCTGCAAATGACCGGGTGGCTCTCTGTGGTGATCTCTACACCGCCACCTCCCCATGAGGCCCAGGAACAATCCATTGAAGGGTGTCGGTGTATATGTTTTAGTATCGGATCCCCAGAGATACGACGTACCTACACATCAAGCAACATAGTGAAACATCGCACAAAGAAAGCCCTTATCCTTACCTTTCTGCCACACCCATCGGTTCGATCGATCTGTCAGGGCCCCAAGGGCCCGAGACAGGGCAAACGCCTGGACTGAAACAGCTCCAACGCCGGGATCTCAAGGTCCCACCTGCTCGCCCCCCCTCCCTCCGCAGGAAGGGGGGGAAGGACGGGGGAGGAGTGCAAGGAGCTCGAAGGCGGAAGGGGCTGGAGCGCCACGGAGTGCGAGGGGACATATGCGCATCATCCCCCCCCCCCTTCCGCCCGTTGCCGCTCCGCCTCCCCTCTCCGAGGACTCCCCCCGCAGACATGCGACGTCTTGATTTCTGTCAATGCGGGATCCCTGGACGTCCCCACCCTTTCCCCCGGGGCCGGTTTTTTGCACCCCGAGCGGTTCTTCGACGGTCCTGGAGCCCACCGAGGGCCTCCTGTGATTAACCAAAGACGGGCCCCTAACACTCTGGGAGTGGACCCATAGGAGGCCCAAAACCAACATGGATGGGAACTCTTTTTTCTGCAGACGTATCGAACCAAACCGCCCAGATCTATTACCCCTCACGCAAAGACAGGGACCTTAGTGAGGCCACGTCTTCACCGTGTTACTTTAGGGACAGGGGATCCTTTATTCTCGATGAGGCCCTGGAGGCCGAAAACGGCCAAAAACATGCCGTCGTGCTTTTGGTTCACGACGCGAGCGCGCCTGCCCCCCCCCCCCCCCCCGGAAGGGGCGAGGCAGCGCGGGGGAGAGGCGTGCGCGGGTTGGGGGGGGGGTCGGCGGCCCCCCAGGGGGCGTCGGCCACACCGCACCAGGATGCCGACGTCTCGGATGCCGTTCTTGCGCGCCTTGAGCACCTGAGGAGCCGTCGGGCCTCTGCTCGGGACGATCGAAGTGGGCACTCTGGGTTTCTTAATGAACGCGGGGGGGAACCCCCGACGGGGTCAATCTCGTTCTGATGTCGCGCTGCGGCGGGGGTCCGAGCGCCCTCGGCGCGCGGTGGCTGCCCGCGACGGGGGTCGATGTGGCGCTGTGGGCGGTGACGCCCCCCCGACGCTTACTAAGAAACTCGGGGTACGGAAAGAGTGGGCACGATGCCCAACACCTGTTCCTGCTCATTTTGAAGAGGACTCGCGGTCCGCGCAGCCACGGACGGCGTTCACCGAAGACAAAAATCGGGGGCGACCAAGGGGGGGGCGTCCAAGAGGGGGGTCGCAAATCATGGCCGGCGGCATGTGCGCCGTCGTGGAAGGGGCTGGGGACGATCGAAGTGGGTACGGAAAGAATGGAAGCCCAATCTGCTGGGAAATCGCTTCAATTTGACTTTGGTCAAACGTGCGTTTGATTCGCCCATGTCGTCCAGCCCCACATCTGAAGCAAACAACTATGATTTCTGCTGAGACATCCTCACGGTTCGCTCTTGAACTGGCCACGACGTGCAATTGACGCTGGCGGTGTGCTGCCCCGCGCCGAGGCGAGAGCGCCGGTTGGACGGGCTTTGGGCCATTGTTCGGAAGTTCGGCCCGCAAAATACGATGCCCAACAGCAGCTCCTGCGAATTTTGAACAGGACTCGTGGTCCGCGCCGCCTCGGACGTTGTTCACTGAAGACAACAACAGCCGCCTGCCAAACAGCGGCCGCTGTCGGCTTTGGACACTATTTATGTTGGGCATTGTTCCCATGTTTTCCGTACCCACTTCGGGCGTCAAAATCTACTGACACAAGTCAGTGCAAACCCGGGACAATCGGGAATCTTCTGGCCCGGGTCAATCCAGACCCGTGTCAATCAGGCCTTGCAAAATCATGCAAGGTCCTGCAAGATCCTGCACCCAAACCCGGGTCAACGCGAAGGATTCTGCAAGATCCTGCAGGATCCTGGACCCACACCCCTGGATCGGCAGGATCATGCAAGATCGGGCGCTCTAGCTGGCCCCCGTTTGCATTGACCCCCGTCTCTTGAGCCCCGAGACCGGGAGGCCCTGACCGCTTCAGGGCAGGGTCAGGGTTACACGTCGGTCGGAAGAAGTATATAAAAACACACGAAGTAGGAAGGCGGATAAAGTGGATTGGGTCCAGGCCCTCCCAGAGAAAAACAAAAACAGCAAAAGCAAGTCGACTCTGAAAATAGGAAGGCGCTACTCTCAGAAGTCCCTACTTTCAACGACTGGCGTGTAAACAGTTCTTTCGTTTTCGAGGTTGAGGTCAGGGTCGCAGCGTGCGCCAGAGCGCGCCCTGCGCGGACTGCTGAGCGCGCGGCAACGCAAGCCTGTCTGCGGCCGCCACCCATGCTGGAAGATTCTCACACGCGCTTCTGGTGATGATTCTCGCAGATTCCCACGGTTTCCACAGGAGCAAGAGGCAGGAAAGTCTGCGGAAGCAGAAGAACTTTCGAAGCTCCGCGCGGGTGTCTCGGATCGACGCTGGACCCCTCCTGGCGAAGCCTCTGGCGCCGCCCCTGGCGTCTTGGAGACGTCGGGGTCGACGTATTTCGGCCGCTTTCCTGGAAAATCGGAAATTGCAGAACCATGACCTGTCGAAGGTCCGCGCGGATTTCTTGGATCGGTGCTGGGCTCCCTGCCGCGCTCCGCGCCATTCTTCCTCTCATCCTGGGCAGAGACTGACAAGCAACTCCTGGGAGGTGCCCGCACGAACGCTGAGCCAGATTCAGCAGAAAAGATTACGCCTGACTGGGGAATCCAAAAGATACTACTGATCCCGCTACTCCCCGGACCTCTCTCGAGGTGCATTCTGACCAGAATTTCGAGGCAAATCCAACGGTGGCGACGAGGGCCTCCCAGGAAGCCTCCAAGAAGGGGGAAAACGAGGCGAGGTAAGGGTTGCGGTATTGTTACCTTTTCTTCCTCTGGTTGGGCGTGAGAAGGCATGAGCAGACTGGCCTTCCTCGGTCATGGATATACCAGGTGGTCTCTGGGGGCCCTCAACGGGCCTGTGGACCGTCAATAGAACTACCAAAATTGAAGAACCAGTCCATGGAAAGGGGTCCAGACCCCTGGAGGTCGACGTCATGAAAAAATCGTGACGTCGGGGGTCTGGTGTAGGGCATTCTGCTGGTGGGCAGCAAGAGGGGGGGACTAGCAGAGGGGGGCACATCGAACTGGGATCGGCGATACATCACCGATAGATCGGCGATAGGCCCCCGATGGTGCCACCGCACGTTCCTGGGCGGGTTGGGGCTATCGGGGCCCCCATCGGCGATCAATGGGCGATTGGGGGTCGATGCATCCCCCCCAATACCTATCCACCCCCCCTATCGTTGCCCCTGATCTGTCCTCTAAGCATCTCGCTGCCCCCGCCCAGCCCCGCGGCCCCTCGCAGAGACAGCTCCCTCGGGACGACGGGGGGACCCAGACACGCTCGCGCCGTGTACCAAATCAAGACGGACTTCGTCTGCCATGTTCGGCGTCCAGGTGCCCTTGCTAGGCCCGAGAACCATCAAAAAAACGGCGCGGGAAGAAACACTGGCCTCGGGGAAGGGATCCAGAACTCTGGGGAGGCCCGCCGCTAGAAAGCACGACGCTGGATCTCTGGGGATGCTGACACTTGTTCTGCATCGGCATCGGGTCTCAGCAAGCCATGTTGCGTTGCACCTTCGGGGGACCTTGTCTGTCCCGTCGCGCCGAGATCCGCGTCGAATCCGTGTCGAGCGCGCCAGACCCGTGTCGAGTCCGTGTTGTATCCGCGTCGAATCCGCATCGAGCCCACGGCGGGCACAAGAGAAGACACAAATTTTAGGAACAGGCGAGGTCCCCCGAAGATGCAGGGTAAGCTATCGTGTTGGATCGAGCATCGGGCAAAAATCGCGGCCACCGCGCTCGCGCGGCGCGCCGGAAACGTAGCTCATAGGGGGCAGTGCAAGCCGCGCGAGCCTCAGTTCTTCTGGGTCGGCCCGCGTTTGTCGCGGGAGGGGAGGGACTGACTATAACACGTACAGCACGAGCTCGACCACGAGAAGCCTTCCACAAGAAACCCAACCCCGAGACCCCAGGACGTCTCTTGATTTGTTGGTGTGGGAGCTTCACGCTTTCCGCAGCAAAACCATCGAAACCCAAGAAACCCAGGGTGCCCTGGAGGCAAGCAGGGTGTTTCTTGGCATGGGTCTCCACTGTACGAAGAAGCATGTCCAGGAGAGCGCGGGTCAGAGGCACGAGCCCCTTCGCCGAAGGGTTACGGCCTACTGGAAATAGCCCCCAAGCCGAGGAGCACACCAAGGTGGAGCGCCTGGCCAGAGAAGAACCGAAGGCTGCAGCTCCAAAGCCAGGCTTTCGTCTCCAGCGCAATCCGAGGCGAGGGCTGTTCTTGACCCTAGCTGTAGGGTGAAGCAGTGGCGGAGAAGCTTCGGGACCAGGGCGGGGTGTCAGCAGCACGGCCAAGCGGCAGAGCCTCCCATTCTGCAGGCGGCGCCTTCAGTGACAGCACGCTGGCGCTGTACTTCGCGATGCAGTCCAAGTTCTCAAAGTGGGCGCGATGAGGCGATGGCAGAAACAATGGAAACCACCGCCCTCTCCGTCCCCACAGGAGATCCCAAACTCGAATCGACAAGTCGGATCGGCGATCAAAATAAATCGGATCGGCGGCAGGCTAATCGTCCTCAATTGAAACATCGGATCCCAAATCGGAATCCGAAGTCGAATCGGATCGGAATCGGGAGCCATCGAAATCGAATCGAGCCGAATCAGAGGAATCGAAACGAGCCCTGCCCCCATTCCCAAGCCCGTACACCTCCTACTGCCCTCCCTCCCCCGTACCCCCCTGCACAATCGGCGGCCCTTTTCCCTCCCGTGGACAGCTCTCCCGTGTCCGTGGGCTCCTCTGCTCACTTTCGTGCCCGAGCAGCGCAAAGATCATGACGGACACGTGGTGCTCAAGCACATCCCGTCCGTTTCCCCCGTGCACCGTGTGCATCGTTTGCCCGACCTCTGCGCATCACCCGCGCGAGGCCGATAGCACCAATCAGCTGCGCAAGACGTTGATGATCTATCGATGTTTGGTGTGGGAGCGTCGCGCCTTCCATCGCATAACCCAAGAAACCCAAGAAACCCAGGGTGCCCTCGGGGGCAAGCAGGGTGTCTATATTGGCATGGGCCTCAACTGTACATTATTTGCCCGGCCTCCATGCATCACCCGCACGAGCCGATCACACCAATCAACTGCGCAAAACGTTGACGACCCGAGAGCTACGGTTCTGGGCACTCGGAGGGTGGGTCGCACAGAGACTTCCGGATCCCTCGCGGCCAAGTGCTGCTCGGCATACCGTTCCGCTCGGCATGCACTCCACAAAGCACGCATGAGAATTTTGCGAACTGCCCTCGTCCTCCCCTCTTCCTTCTCCGCACCTGGAGATCGCACGACCGGGTTCCGAGGAGATGCGTCGGTAACATCGAGACTACCAAAAGATGTGTTTCACATCGCGCCGCTTCGCCGAAATCCAATTTGGCGTGAAAGAAACGAGTCCTGAGGGAAGCGGGTCCTGGACTTAGGTCGGGCATGTCCCCCTGCAGGCGGATCTTGGGCGACAAAGTGTAGAAGTACTCAAGAAATGCTCAACAATAACCCACAGTAATAACAACAAATCGTCCCCCAGATAATTGTTGGAATATGTTTGAATATTCCTTCTGTAGAGGGACAGGCCCGACTCAATCCTAGATCGGTGCGCCTGCCCCAGGGAACCCGAAGGCACACAGCAAACCCTCAGGGCTCTTCTCCCTCGGGCCCCCCCCCCGCACCGAAGACGCAGCCAGGGCGAGGACAGGTCCAGGTGAGGATGCATCTGAAGCGCCCCAGGGACACACAAATAAGCACACACAAATCCCAGAATTCCCCATATGTTCACATATTTTCTGGGTTTTCGTCTTCCCCCCCACATCCCATACGTTCCCATACTTTCCGAGGAATCACCGAGATACCTGAGATACATCGAGAATCTCTGAGATCCGGCGGCTCTGGAGGATGTATCGGGCACTGCGGTCTCTCGCGAGCGATCTGGAACGCTCTGGGACCGCTCTGGAAAACTTGTCATCGTCCCAGCCCCGCCTGATCACCCCTTCTATGCACAAGCGCGCCCCACTGCTCGCAAGTCAACTACTCGCAAATGGCCTGGATCCGCCGCGGGTGATGTACGATATATTGCACAGAGGAAGACCCAGCTTTTTCAGACGTTTGCGAGTAGGCACATTGCGAGTAGTGAAACGCGCTCGGCGATTCTGGACGAGCGCAGGCCACTGACAATCTCGCAAGGATGGCTCGGCGATCTCCGAGGGCCGCCGAGGCCTGGAAGATATGGCGTCGAACTCCCCCGCTGCTCCCGCGATGGAGCGCCCGGCAGAGAGCCCGCCGATGCCCCAGCATGGAGAGCTCCCTCACATCGCCAACGAGATGATTACGACCAGTAGGGAAGACAAAACGCCATAAAGATACTCTTTGGGCGCTCCGCGCGGATTTCTGGGATCCGCACTGCGCCCGCCTCCCTGGTGCGCGGAGCGCGCCAGGGGCGGCGCGGGGGGGGGCCAGCGCGCATCCAAGAGATCCGCGCGGAGCGCCAACAGTTCATGCCTATGGCGTTTTTTCTTCGAGACCAGGGCTCTTGACCTCATCGCTCTGCGGCAAGGCTCCTCGAGCCAGACCGCCAGGGATGGGCTGACCTGGCCATACGAAACCAGGAAGAGGACAACACCGGGTGAGCATAGCCCGAGAACCTCTGAGATCCAGCGGCTCTGGAGGACGTATCGGGCGCCGCGGCCTTCTCGCGAGCGTTCCAGAGGTCTCTGGAACCGATCTTCGTGCTCGTCCTAGCCCCGTCCGCCCTGGGTGCGGGTCAATCGGGGGCAGCCAAGAGGGGGGCCGTCCAAGAGGGGGGTGGGGGGTGGGCGCAAAGCACGGCTGGCGGCGCGCGCGCGGCTCAGAGGGGGGCAGGGACGTAACGAAACAAGAAGAGGCGCCGTGACATCTGGGGAGCTCTCATGGCCCCCGCCATGATATCCCCGCCCCCAGCCATCACCCCCCTCCTGGCTGCCCCCGAATACATAGGGGTCCTGCCGCGAGCCCTGGCCAGCCACGGAGCAGCCTCCAGCCCGGGCCAGCGGAGAGAGGACGGCTACACGTAGGTCGGGCGTGTCCTCCTGCAGGCGGATCTTGGGCGAAAAAGTAAAACAAATAGTGCAACAATAATCCAAACATATGTAGAAATAGTCGAAACATCGGCCCATGACTGTTTCTAACTATTTTTCGTTTTCCCCCTGTAGAGGGACACGCCCGACTTAAGGCTACACGCAGCGGTGACCCCGGGCAAGAGCGACTCCTCTGCTGCGCGGCCTCGGAAGGGGCGGGAGGGCAGGCAGACTCGGCACACACAAGTGCGAGTGCGAACTCCTCCTCCTCCTCCTCATCCTCCTCCTTCTCCTGCGCCTCCTCCTTCTCCTCCTCCTCCTCCTCCTCCTCCTCCTCCTCATGCTTCTCCTCCTCCGCCTCCTCATCCTCCTCCTGCGCCTCCTCCTCCTCCTCCTCCTCCTCCTTCTCCCTCCCTCCCTCCCTCCCCCTTCCGTAGCCATTTTGGCTCAAGCCGCCGCCCCGGTCCGAGGTGTTTGGAACTGCTCCAGGAGCAGCGCACCTCGCGCGGGGATGGCTGCCATGAGCGCTGGCCGCCTCGCCTCGCCCTGCACAGGCGAGGGGAGGGCTAGCCGAGCGCGACGCGGCCTGTCCGGCCGGCGCTGCTGCAGCCAGCCGAGGCCGGACCTCCGTGCCCCTGCGCGAAGACTCGGGTACGGGGTACGCGGCCCGCGTCGGCCGCCGCCCGCACATGCAGAACGTCGCAGCGCTGGTCTGGTCGCCGCGCTGGTTCGCCGTCCCGTTCTGCTTTCGCCTGCTGTGCGGCATCATGACGCGCCGCCACCGGACGACCATCAACGTGTGCTACTTCGTGACCATGATGTCGGTCCTGTACATGCAGATGGTGATGCTGCGGGTGCCAAGGTGGCCGAGGCCGCATGGTGCTGGCTGCCCGGAGCGCTGCCGCCCCCGGCGCCCAGCGCGCCGATCTGGTGGCCCTCGCCGCCGCCGCCGCCGCGGCTGACGACGCTGAGTGCCGCCGATCTGCCGTTGGTCGGGCCGCCGCCGGCACACGCCCCACCGTTCTTTGTGGAGCGCAGCCTGCCGCCGCCTCCAGCGGATGACGACGCTGACGGCCCTGACGTGGCTGCCGACTCGTCTGATGAGTCCGACAGCACGGTCGACTCCACAGAATTGACGTATCCTCGGTCGCTCGGAGCACGGATACCACATCGTGCGGGGCCGTCCTTGGAGGACCGTCCTGGGGGAGTGCCACAACTGGCCGAGCGCCAGGGCTCAGACCCCGAAGCCGGGGGAGTGCATCAACTGGCCCAGCGCCAGGGTGCAAACCCCGAAGCCTGCGTGGAGGAGGGTAACCTGCGGGCACCGAGCGCGGAGCTGTGGGACCTGGTCTGTATTACGGCAGATCACTGCAGTGACAATTTCGCGGGCACCCAGCAGGCGGAACTCAAGCACGGCCGCGTTTCCATGCCAGCGACCATGGACTTTACTACCCCAGCTCTCACCGACAAGCTCATTGGCTCCGATGCCCCGCCTGGCGTCGCCCAAGGCTTCGACCTGATCATCGGAGACACCGTCGAGATCTTTGGGCTGAGCGGCGCGAGGGAGCTGAACGGACGGCGTGGTACCATCATCACATTCGTGAAGGACAGGCAAAGGTTCGGAGTGAGGCTGGCAGGAGACGAGGAGACGAAAGCCGTGAAGCCAGCCAACGTCAAGTGGCTGGAGGAGTCCCGGTCCCAACCCATCGCCAAGGTCCACGCGGCCGGCTGGGCGCACATCCTGGCGTACCACGCATCCTGCGATTTGTACCAGGACCACTATGCCGGCATCCGCGTCGCCGCAGGCGACTCCAGTTTCAAGATGCCCGAGGCTGGCCACGCCGCCGAGCAGGAAAAGCTGGCCGCTGAGATAGCATGCGGTCGCCTTGCTCTGATGGCGACCTCACAGTTTTTCTTCCAAGACGGTCTGACACGCGCTCTGTGGCGCCATCGGTCGCACTGCACAGCTTCTCCGCTGCGCGCAGGCGGCGCAAGAGAGGCCCGCGCTAACGAGGCGAACCAGAAGATCTCCGACGTCATCGCCGCTCACGGAGGCATTGAAGCTGCCCGGGCCGTTATGGCGGCTGCAGATGCGGCAGCTGGCATTAAGCTCTAACCTGGAATTTCTCTCGTCCTGAGGGAGGATTGGTGGGGAGGATCGGGATGGAGGTGTTTCCCTGCGCGGCCCGTGTATCCTCGCGAGCGCTGCTCGACTCGAGGAGGGCCGGCGCGCGCGAGAGAAGAGGGATCAGGGCCAGGTCAGCGACCCACCTCATTCTCTTCCCGCCCTTCCCTCCCCCCGAGTACCCGAGTAGCCACGCCACGGCCGTCATTCCATATTTGAGCTCAGTTGTCTGCCGGAGCCATCTTCGAGGGCTCGCGCCGAGGCCGGACAGTAGTTCTGTGGGAATCGGGAGGAGTGGATGGACGCCGGAGGATGAAGGGTAGTTGGACATCGCCGAGCTTTTTGTCGTGCCAATTCTGCCCTTCCACGCCTTCCCTCGTCCCTTCCCTTCTCGGGTAAGCTCTGAGATCAGGCCGAGGGCGACCAGAGGCGTCCAGCCGAAGGCTAGTCCGAGACGTCGGAGGCCGAGGACGACGCTCGCAGCGCTCACGAGAATAGGAGGTGTTTGGTCTGCGTCCCAGCCTTCCTCCTTCTCGTCATCATGTTGCCCTCCCTCCCTGCCTCCCTCCTTCCCCTCAGCCCGAGTGCCCTGGAAGAGGCTCAGCACGTCATCATTTGTCGCCGCCTTCAGCGTTTGCCGTCCAGTTGCCTATTATGGGGGGTAGTGTGGTGATGTGGAGGATGGGGAAGGATGGATGGGTGAAAAGTTGATTGCGATCTTTCCCTAAGCCCTGCCTCTCGTGCCGACGTGTGCCGTCTGCCCCGTCGCAGGGTCACGAGCAGGAGGTTTTTGGTTGCGTCCCAGCCTTCTTCTCTCCTCCTCTCCTAGATCATGTTGCCCCCCCTTCCTCCCTCCCCTCCTCCTGAGTGCCCTGGAGGAGGCACAGTACGTCATTATTTGTCGCCGCCTTTAGCGTTTGCTTTCCAGTTGCCTAATATGGGGGGCAGTGAGGGGATACTGTACTGTACTTGCCTACTTGGTGCCCGTGAGTCTTTTTTAGTCTGACAAAATATTCTGCTAGTTGCAGCGCCGTCCCTCTCTGACCGTCGCCAGGCGAATCAGATGTGCAATCCAAAATCCCTCCCTCCCCAGGCAGGCTCGGCACACCAGTGCGAGGGCACCCGAGTTAGCCATGACCCGAGTTACCCCTGACGCTTCGGGGCTCTGACTGGAGGCGCCGCCAGGGGGGCGTCCAGCCTCGGTTCAAGACGACCGCGCGTATACCTCCGAGAGTTTATGCGTCTGCCATGTGGCCTTCCTCGAGAGACGGGCGCAGGGGAGGTACCGAACAGACCGAGGCGCGCAGTCTGGGTTGATCGAGCGCCGCCTCGACATGAGTGCGTGCCGCACGTGCACGCGGCAGCTGGTCGCACGCAAATCGCTGCACAGGTGGCGCAGGGCGCGCCGGCAGGCGGTCGCAGAGACAAGGCAGTTGTGGCCTCGACGCCGCCGCCGTCGCCGTCGCCGTCGCCGTCGCCGTCGCCGTCGCCGACGCCGACGCCGACGCCGACGCCAACGCCGACGCCGCCGACACCGCCGCCGCCGACGACGACAACAACGGAGCACCGTGGACTAGCAGTGGCCACTGCAGCCGCCGCCGCCCCCCCGTTGACAGCGAGCCCAGGTGGGAAGGCGGGGAGGGGGGGAGGCCAGGCTCATCGGAAGGCGCAGGAGGCCTCCGGCCGTCTGAGAAGCTGCCCAAGCCTTCTTCGAGGGCACAGGCTGCCTCGCAGAAGGCGCGAGGGCTTCCGAAAGAGCCCCCCGGGGCGCGGCTGTGCGGGCGGCGTCCTCGAGGCTGTTCTCGCTCACGTCGAGGCTCTCAAGGTGGCTCAGGTCGACCGGCTGCTCGAAGAGACCGTCCAGGCTCACCAGGTTGAAGATCTCGCTCCTCCACAGAGGAGCACTCGCCAGCGTCAGCATAGACTTTCGGAGGTCCGCGAAGATTTATTCGACCGGCACTGGACACTCCTGGCGGCGTCTCCGACGGCGCTCTTTGCGCGCTCCGCGCGCCAGGGAGGCATCAAATCTGCGCGGACCTCACCTGAGTTGATGTTTCCGCACCCGGATGCTATGTATGAAGAAGATGAAGAGGCCGTGGGACACAACAGGGTTCCCAATATTTTCCCATGTTTTCTGGGTGTTTGTCTTCCCCTCCACTTCCCATGCTTTCCATATTTTCTGGGGATCGGCGATTATTGTGTCTGTGTTTTTTCCCTTGGGAAGAGAGCTCCCGACCCGCCGCGCACCCTTCAGACCGCGGCCGCCAGGTCCAATGTGTGCACGTTGGAGTCCCGCCTCGTGTCTTGGACGAACGACGACTGCACACCGCGGCCGCCAGGCCTCGAGGGCGACCGTGCTTCCTGGAGATCCCGCCTCGCGCTCCCGGCTCGGGATCGCTGGAAGCAGACTTCGCCGGTCCAACGGGTCAGAAGCGTGCCAAGATCTCCGTAGCAAGGTTCGAATCCAGTCGTGGCTGATTGGAAAGGACACGCGAGGGGACACAAGGCCCGTCCAAGGGCCACATGGCCATAGCAGTGTGGAACGCATGGGTCGCGAAACACAGGATACGAAGGTACTCTTGATTTGGCAGGGTCGACCTACTCATCGGTCTCGACTGTATGTCTAGTCTGGGGTCCCTGGGCCACAAATGTCCTGCGAGATGTCGGGCAAGGTCCACTCGGAAAGAACTTTGCTCCTGGGCGCCGCCCTCGCGCCCCCCCCCAGAGAGCCCCAGGAGCGCCCCAAATGAGCTCCAAGAAATCCCACGAGCGGCCAAAGAGCGGGATCGGTGCCCATGATACTCTCTGGATAGCCCGAGGAGCCTCCGAAACGCCTCAAGAGAGCCCCAAGACATCAACCCTCTCAAGGAGGCCCCGAGAGGCACAACTCATGGATGCCCCTTTCGCTTTTTAACCATTTTCGCGTCACCGCCGTCTCGTGTTTCCGACTCCCCCGAGACGGCCAAAGAGGCCCACAACATCTCCCCAAAAAGCCCCAACATTTTCCCAGGAGGGCCCCAAGATGGACCAAGATGGCTCAATACGGCTTAAGAGGACCCCCAGGGGGGCTGCAGAGGCCCCACAGAGGGCACCCAAAGGGGATCCCGAACTGCCATCTGGAGCTCTTCCCCCGAAGATGGCCCGCAAGACCGCCAGCAATCCCACAAAGAGCCCCCAAGAGACCCCAGAGGCCCCCAAGACACCCCCGAGAGGTCCAAAATGGCCCAAAAATGCTACCACGAGACCCCTGGTAGGCCTCCAAAGAGAGACCCCAAAGACTCCAAGTTCTCTTGTCCACGACCCAGCCTGGCCGAAAGCCACTAAAAAACACTACATACAAGATGGGCTGACGGAGTGAGCGAAACAATTGGATTCGGCGGGCCCTCTGATGGCCCACGCCGTTTTGTAACCTCGGAGGGTAGACGATGAAAGGGAGGGATGATGATGGAGGAGAGGGAGACTGCGACTGCGACTGCGACCCGCATTGCGCACCCTGTAGGTGCCGCGGGTTGGGGCCGAAGCGCCCTCTACAATCTTGTTCTAGGCTTGCATCGGCACGCATCAGGAATGCTAAGGAGACGGCATGCATGAGGAATGCTAACAAGGGCTTTGCCCATTCCGCCGGCCTTCCCCACGCGATGTTATCAATTGTCCTGCGGCACGTAAAAAATACGAGTGTGCCATGACCCCCTTTGGCTACGAGTGAGCAACGCCCTCATGGCTACGACACTGCCATGGCGGTACACCCCTCACACATTTCCTGCTTCACACACACACACACACGTGAAAGTACGAGAGAGCTGCGCGCCGAGGGCCACGAAGGGCTCAATTCTATACACCCCATCGCGCATTTCCTGCCCCACACTCTACTGGGAAGGACACGTGCGAGTACGCGCAAGCTGCGCTCTCAGGCTCATCGGATACGTAAAAAGACAAGCGATGTGGGCCTCGAAACTCCTGAGTGACTTGCTTTTCCACGTCGATGGGAACCTCATTTCGGCACACCCCTCTCTCACTTCGTGAATGTTAGACTCTCAGCTGGCCCCCGAGACGGCTCCTTCGAGTCTGCATTCGTCACACCCCTCGCGTACGTTGTGCCCCATGGACCCAACAAGGGATTGCACCTGGCCCCCAAGCCCGCCTAATCCCCCAAGGGGCGCAAATACGCCCCCAAGAAGCATTGCAACGAGTGGTGCCAACCCTCGTCGAGACAATCACACTAACGCCCAAAGGTTGCAAAATCTCCGTGCAAACTTCCCCGAATGGGCTCGCCGTGATTCCCGATTTGCGGGTTCAATATTAAATTGTTCTTCGGTTCTGAGGAAGAGGATCAGTCCGCGCCGAAGATTGACCTGAGCCGTATGTGTCTGGCCGCCTTCTTCGGCCACAATCGGCTGTTCGGGACGACAAGAGAGACGCTCCGAATGGCCTTCGAGATACCAACAAAGATGGCCCCAAGAGGACTCCAGGGAGGGATACGTATTTCAAACATGGCACCAGAGGGCCAAGTAGATCTCAAGCCATCCTCAACATGCTCGGATCGTCCTCTGTGTTGTGATTTGAGAGAGCGTCTTCTGTGTACGCTTCACTGTGGCAAAACCCTAACCTGCCCCGCTTGGGGTCCCCCCTCCCCCTCGAAAATCCGCCCTCCTCTCCCCACCTCCCTGGAGAGCGAACCCCGCCCCTGCCCCCCTCCCACCCCGACGACGTCGTCGTCGTCGTCGTCGTCGTCGTCGTCGTCGTCGTCGTCGTCGTCGTCGTCGTCGTCGTCGTCGTCGTGGTCGTTTTCTGGCGAGTCCGCTGGTTGAGCGGGCGGGCGGGACACGTCGTCGACGTCGCGGACGAGTCGGCCGGGCGGGCAAGACACGCCTTCGTCGTCGGCAGCGTTGTCTGGAAGCGCGGGGCGTCGGTCGGGCGGGAGGGGCAGACGCGTCCTCGACGTCGCGGGCGAGGCGGGCGGGCGGGCGGGACGCGTCGTCGTCGTCCTTTGCCGGCGAGTCGGTCGATCGATCGGTCTGGCGTCTCCGTCGTGGGGAGTCAGGGGGCGGGCGGGGCGCGTCGTCGTAGTCGAGCTCGTCGTCATCGCAGTCGTTGACGTCCTCGTCGTCGTTTGCCTGCGTCGGGCGTCGTCGCCGTCGCCATTTCCGTCGCCATCGTCGTGGGCAGGTCCGTCGGGCGGGCTGGTTGGACGCGTCGACGACATCGTCGTGGGCGAGTTGATCGGGCGGGAGGGCGGGACACGTCGTCGTCTCAGGAACGGCGAGAAGGTCTGGTTCGAGAAGGGTGGTTTCCACGGATGCAGGGGCGCTTCAGATCGGGTTGGGGGTCTAGCGAAACCAACCTTGTCCAACGAAGCCTCCTGACAACCCCCGAAGCAAGGCGCCCTCTTCGCCCCCTGGCAGTCGTTTTCGACCCCCTCTGACTGGTCTTGGGGGCACCGTTGGCCCGTGCTGGGATCGTCATGTCTTCTTTCCGGGCTGCCCAGAGGTCAGGGTCAATGTCAGGCCCGTGCACATGAAGGCGAGCCCATGAAGGCCGCAGGCGGAGGCACTCGGCACCGCGCGCCCTGCACGCGCGCGCAAGGATCCTAGGAAACGGCTCGTGCGTCTAAAAAAATCGGGAACTCCTTCACATGGCGTGTTCATCTAGAATGTTAGCAAACTTTTCAGAAAGTTCGTGGCTCGCCACTGGGGAACATCTGGAGACAAAGGGCGCCATTGAGAGCCGATCATACGGCCGAGAACTTCCAGTCTGCCTGTCCAGGTCGCATCGGCCATCCCGAGACAAGCCAACTGTTCTGGCATTCTTCAGCCGCTCATGGAACTCGTGGTGACCCATGGTGTGGAACGACTCCGCGTCTTCCATGGCCAGGGAGGCGCGGAAATATTGCTGGCGTGCTGATAGTGGCCCGCGCTCGGAGTGCGCCGGACAGGGCGCCGAGGCGCCTCAGGAGAGACAATTCTGGAAGCATACGGGGAATGAGGGAGAAGAGGAACATCCAGGAAACACGGAGAGATACGAGACACCCTGGAGTGTGTGTAAACTTGTGTGCGTGTCTCCCTGAGCCCCTTCGGTGTCCCTCCCATGAGGCGCTGCGGCGCAGCACGTGGGATCGCCTGGTTCTGCTAGCGCCACCCACGCACCCGCACTCCCGAGGGTCGGCCTACACCCTGCGAAATGCTTAAGAAATCATGGGTTAAGAAATTCATAGTCTCAGAACTTGAACAAAAACCCAAGATTTCTATCAAAATCTGAAGGTTTACATTGAAACGTTAAGAATAATCGAGACTCTGGCCGAAAACTTAAGTTTTCTTAAGCATCGCCTGAGGTGTAGGCCGGGACTCCAAAGCAGCTCGCTTGCGCGATGCAGCCCCGGCGCGAGCTCCGGGGAACCTCCCCAGGAGCAGGCAGCAACAATTGAGCACCCACGGACGACGAAGACCGTCCACGAGCATGACGCTCGGGTGGCTAGACGTGGGCAGATTGGCAGCACTAGGGATGCGGTCGACTCTGCCACCAGACAAGACTGGCCACAATAATTCCCTTCTGGAGCTCATTTCACGGTGCTCTGGGGTAAGGTCCATCGCGATCAAAGTCCGACAAAATTATGTCAGGGAGTCTAAGAGAGCGTTGAACGGTCAAATTACTACCCGAATAGATGCAAAACCTGCCACCGTGCCCGTTGCATGTGGGGACGTGTTGGGATGCTCATCTGCTGTCTGGCAAGGTCTCTATACTATTTTCGAAATCCACCTGTATCCCTGGACAGCAGGCGGCCTCAGAACCCCCCGCAGGGGGTGCTTTGGGATGCTCTGTTTGGCCTCCAGACTGCGCCAAGACTACTGAGAGGATCCAACATGGCCTCAAGATGCCTCCAAGCTGGTCCACTACGCATCGTAGACAATGTCAGATTGCCCCAAGACGGCCGAAGGTCCCCGATACACCCCAAGAGGGCTCCAAGAGGCCCTCCAAGCGGGCCCGAAGACACCGAAACATTCATGTGTTGTTTCAAACCTTGCTTGTTCGCGCTCCCACCAGGCCAAGCTTCCGACAATCCACGATGGCTCCATGGTCCTCCAAGACGGCACAGGAGGCCCAAAAGACGGCCCGAGAGGCCCCCAAGGAAGACCCCAGACGGCCCAAGAGACCTCCACGACGGCCCGAAAGCGCCTCACGAGCACCCCAAGTTGGCCCAGAGAGGCCCCCAAGACGGCCTCCGAAGAGTGGCAGCTGTTACCGCAATCATGATAACAATAACAGTCGCGGCAACAAGTGTCCGCGACCCCCCGCTTGCCGGGGGTGAAAAGGCGTGTGAGACATTCGGTTCCCGCTCACCTGGGGTCCAAAATGCCGTTTGAGTGGGGGTGCACGAGCCCGAAGCACCCTCGGGGCCTCCGCAGCCTCCAACAATCCCCAAGAAGGCCCAGACAGAGCGCGACGACAGTCGGAGAGAGCGCTGAGAAGGCCGAGAGAAGCCCGACGACCTAAGAATACTTCAAGACGGGCCACAGGGCCCCCAAGACGGCCCCGAGATGTTCCAAGAAGAATGCCGAGACAACCGCACTAGGCACAATCCGTCCCATTCCCGTTGGAAAACCTACATTTTTGCACACTCGGCTTTTCCGTCTTGACAGCTTCTAAGGCTGCCCAAAGACCCTCAAGATCGTCACAAGATGGCCGATGAGGTCTCCAAGATGGCCCCAAGACGGCCTGAGACGGCCCCAGGGGCACCTAAGACAGCCCAAGAGAGCCCCATGAGGGCCCCAGGAGAGCCCAAGAGGGGGAATACGAACTAAAATGTCGAGCCTTTCTCTGAAGATGGCCCCAAGAGCCCACCAGAGGCCCCCGAGGCACTACCAAGACGCTCAAAGATGCCTCCAAGATGCACCCAAGAAGCTCCCAAGAGACCCCCAAGATGCCCCCCAAAGCAACACAGATGCACCCAGGAGCCCTGCAAGAAACCCCTGAAAGGCATCCCAAGAGACCCTCAGATTCATCCAAGAGGCCCCTGACCCACAGCACCGCGGGCTGGGCCGAAGGCCACTACGTAGAGAACTTCGACGAACGTCGAACTCTCTGACTCCTTCTGGGGGTCGGCGGAATGGCACGAGCCACTGGAATAACAGTAGTAGGTCGTCGCAATATCAGGAAACCTCCATAATGGAAGAAGCAGCAACATTGCATAGACATAAACGTTTGGCGCCTCGCGCGGATTTCTTGGATCTGCGCTGGACCCCCCTCCCTGGCGCGCTGAGCGCGCCAGGGGCGGCGCCGGAGGCGCCGCAGGGGGGGCCCAGCGCGGATCCAAGAAATCCGCGCGGAGCGCCAACAGTTTTTGTTTATGGCGTTTTGTTCCCTTCGACATAAACGCCGCAGTAAGGTATCACGAACGGCCAGTCAACGCTTTGGCAGTGCCGCTGTGACGGGAGCAAGGCGTAATCCGAACAGGGTGTCATGAAAAGGGGGACACATGAAGACCGCAGGAGCCCGACGAGAGCGGGGGAAAACACATCCAACAGCGCCTCCCGCTCCCCTTGCCCGCCTCCCGACAGGCCAGAAGGGGGGGGGCCAAATTGAGGGCAGAAAACCCACCCCCGTAATGATCACCCCGACACTCGAAGCCGTTTCGCAAACGCACCCACAGAAGGAATCGAACAGGGCAGGGCTGTTTCGTAAACGCCCAGGGCCGTTTAGTAAACCCCAATTGTCAGGTCAGGGTGGCTTTCCTCCCTTGAGCAAAGAGGTGTGCGCTCCTGAACGTGAGGTGCTTGTGCAGGCGTGACCTCCACCCGCTGTCTTGCGGCATGACCTGGGCTGGCGCGCAAGGCGGGCGTTAACCAGCCTCGACCTTGTCCCAATCCCTAAGATCGGCAAGCCCAAGGCGATGACAATCGTTTGGATATTCCCTCAGAAACTGAGGGAGCCCCTGAGATCGGCACCGAGGTAAGATGATGCCAAACATAGGATTAGGGAGATGTTTCAAGCTTGTAGGTGTAAGGGGGCGGGAGGGGGAGATGGGAGGAGAGGATTTTACGAGAAGAAACCGCAACACGAACCCAAAGTTGCGTGGGCCCAGACGGATATCTTGCATCGGCGCTGGGCTGGCGCGCGGAGCGCGCCAAGGGCGGCGACAGAGGCGCCGCCAGGAGGGTCCAGCGCGAATCCGATAAATCCGAGCGACTTCCGAACGCGTATAGTTACTGGTACAAGTTTCTCGTGCTCGACACGTGACGCTCCCTGCACTTCCAGACCAGGTCGAACAGGTCGGATCCAGATGGTCCGCGGGGCCTGCATGAAGGGAACCTGCCCTGCAGGAGGCGGGCCCTGGACCCCCCGGGGCGTTCCCCAGGACCAATTCTGCATCCTGAATCCCCATGAGCGACCTGAGCGAGACCTCGCCGTGGGCTGCGATCTGCCAAAGTGTTGCCACATTCGAGGGCTGCTGGTGGGTCCAGCGGAGTGAGGCACCGCGCAGATCTGAGCGAGACCTCGCCGTGCCTGGGGGGCTGCGATCTGCGAAACTGTCGCCACTTTCGAGGGCCGCTGGTGGGCTCGCCACTTTCGAAAGCTGCTGGTGGGTCCAGCGGAGCGAGGCACTGCGCGGACCAGAGCGGGACCTCGCCGTCCCTGGGGGGCATGTCATGTTTTTGCTGCCCCGCCGACGTTTCAAGCCCCTTGCCCAGTCTCCTTCTGGATCTTGCGTTTTCCTTAGTCACTCAGGGATTCACTCAGTCACTCATCGTTTTTCCCTTGATTAGGGACCTGCGAACCTTCCGAATGCCGCTCGCAGACGTATATGCGTCCATGTCACGCCGCCGCCTTCTCGCTACACTCTCGAGGCTGAAGCTGAGCTTCAGCCTCTGGGAGGGGTTGATGGGGTGGCTCTGCTGGGGAAGGGGGAGGGGGGAGGTGGGGGGGGCGAGTTTTACGGCGCTTTCTGGGGGCTGGTTTTTCAGAAGACTACAGTCTCGAGGATTCGTCGAAAGCGTAGTGGCGGCCGCAGAGGCCTCTGGAGACGGTCCAGGAGAGCCCCGAGACGCCCACAGATCGCCCGAAGACGCCCACGATGGCCCCAAGACGGCCCAAGAGACCTCCAAGACGTCCCAGGAGGCCCCCAAGAGGCCGTCCACGAGGTCCCCAAGAGGAAAGCATCCTTGATTTGCATAGTTTGGTTCTACAGTTTTGGGTCTGTCACTTTGTTCGACTTTCCGACGCTCCACCACAGCCCAAGAGGCCCCGACGACCACTCCAAGACGGCCAAAGAGACCCAAGAGCCGCCCAAGACGGCCCACGAGGCTCCCAAGACTGGCCCAAGAGGACCCAAGAAAGGATGGAAAAACATACAAATCTAGCCTTCCGCCTCAAGAGGCCCCCAGGAGGCCCCAAGAGTCCCCAACGAGGCCCCCAAGAGGCCCCCAAGACGCCCTAAGAGGCCCTTAAGAAGTCCAAAAGAAGCGCTCCCAAGCGGCCCAAAAACTACCTCCCAGAGGGCCCCGAGAGACAACAAGACGACACATACCACAAGGCGAAATGTAAGGCAGACAAAGCAGAGCCATCCGCCCGCCAAATGCCACCCAGATCGGCGGCACTGGCTGGAGGCCATTACAATATATGCGTCCATGTCACGCCGCCGCCTTCTCGTCAAATCTCCCAAGCTACTCCTGCCCCGCATTGCGCAGGGGTTGGGTACATCGCCAGGATAATTGTCTTCAACAACCCCTCTTCCCTTCGGGGAGGGGAACTCTCCTCCTCCCCTCACTTTTTTTTCTGAGGGGGACCGACGTGTCAGAGGGTCCTTTTTTGGCCAGTAAGAGGGCCAATGTTTGACGCCCCTCACGAGGATCGTTGCACCCGAGGGGGAGGGGGGACATCGAGGACCCCCCCTGTTTTGACCGACCGCCTTCAAGATGGCACCAATAGGCCCTCTAGGGCTTCCAAGAGGCCCCCAAGAGAGCTCTAAGAGTGCCCTTGGGGCCTCCAAGAGGCAACCGAGAGGCACCCAAGAGGCCCCCGAGCGGCCTCAGAGAGCCGAAGATGACCTCCAAGCTGGCTCAAGATGGCTCCAAGAGGCCCCAAGACCGCTCCAAGACGGCTCGAGATGGCCACGGAGCCTCCCCAGGAGGCCGCCAAGAAGCCAAACTCAATCAAAAAACCATAAAGAACATCAATGAATGTGGCCGTCTAGCCTTTTTGTTTTCGATGGCCTCCCGAGGCCTCAAGATTGGTCCAAGATGGCTCCAGTGGGCCCGAAGAGAGGCCCAATAGAGCCCAAGGACGGCTCCAAGAGCGCCCAAGAGCCCTCCAAGATCGCTCCAGGAGGGGCCAAGAGGCGTAGTATGGGACTACCGAAGGGGGCAAGTAATTGAAGACTCCTCCAAGATCGATCGATCTCCAAGATCGTCTATGACCCCTGTCTATGATCGATCTCCTCCAAGACTTGCTCCTCTTGCCTCCTCCCTCCTACTCCTCCTCATCCTCCTCCTTCTCCTCCTCTTCGCCCCCCCCCCTCACGCGGGCCCGGAGATGGCCCCAACACGCCGTCCAGGCCAACTCCCTAGCTGTTTGACTATGCGTGTCTCTTCCTCTCTCCCCCCCTGTCAGCTCTCATGGGCATCGTTTCTGGATGGGCTGGTTGGGACACTTTTTTGGTCGGCGGCTCCCAGGCGACGGTCAAGGAGCGAAAGCGGCGTCCGGGTGGCGGAACGGGGCGAATTGCGAACAGAGCCGCCAGTGTCGGCGGACAAGCTCGCACCCGCAAGACAAACTCGCCGTTGCACATGCACAGAACAACATGAACTAAGTTCACAAGCAAACGTCAAGAATTGCGGTTAAGGTACGGACCAAGCGTAAGTCGTTCGGCATAAGGTGTATTTTGGTCTGAGGTACGCACGTAGGGTCTTAGTGGAACGGACGGATGGTTGTATTGAGAAGCTTAGGGGTGACGCTATGAACGGATTGATGGAATCACAGATGCATTGGCAGACACCGTACAGCTGATGCAGGCCTCGTCGAATACCCGCTCATTGAGCGTGGTGTATTGCTCCACGGAGTCCTCGTGCGCGCTTGCATTGCGGCATCTGCGATACTATGGGCAAGAGAGACGAGGCAGAAGCGATGAAAATGGAGGCGGAGGCGGAATCTGATGAGGACGACGAAGAGGGGGCGACGACGAGGGACAAGTCTAGCATCGAGTGATGAACATGCGTTTCTATAGATTCCCATTTTGTCGTGCACTCCTGCGAGATTCAAGAACTAACAGAGGACGTGGTCGGGTATGGGCCCGCAGACCAGACGATCACATGAATCACATGAGCTCGAGACTGCCGTGGTCCACGATACGTCCCTTGAGCACAGAGCGGGTCTGGGGCCGACTCCGACGCCCCCGCCGGGGTATCGTCGGATGCGGCCCGGCTTCCCACGATGGGTTTCTGTCGGATCCCGTCGTGGCACCGCGCCTACCGTTCTTTCTTGACCGATCACCGCTATCCGACAAGGCAAATCTGACATGTCGGTGGCAATTCATGGGAGCCTCTCATACCATCTTGTGCGAATAGGCGCTACTCGACACTAAATCGACGCGAAGTCGGCACTGCCTCATCCATTTCTCTATGCCAACCGACGCTAGCGCACTGCAAAGACGGGGCTGCGAGGGCATACAGGGATCCCATGACTTGCTACCGAATGACACGAAGACGGTCCTGAGGGAGACGCGTCCTGGCCCTCCTGGCCTCTCCCCAGGGCCTCCTTCTCATCCTGAGTCTCGCCATCGCTCGGACGTCCACTCCCCGTGCGTGGTTCGGCGTCGTGCGTGTTTTTTTTTGTCCGCGAGATGACCCAGAAGGCTCCTAGATGGTCCTCGCCGAGCAAAAAATGCACGCGTCCGAGCGATGCCAGGCCCTTGGCCTCTCCCCATGGCCTCCTCCTCATCTCGAGTCCTTCTCTCTGACGGCCACGAGGCCGTGCCACACAGTCTGGCACAAAGACGTCGATCTTTCCCCGAGGCACGGTGCAGCTGCTACCTCGCACACCTTCGCGCACGCCACCTCGCATGCATGCTCAGAGCTGCCGAACCATCTGCCCCGATGTGCCCGTTCAGGCGCGGCCCTTTCCTGACCTGTCTCACTGTGCCGACCTTGCATACGTGCTGCAGCGGAGTTGTTCGAGGATTCCTGTCAACGCAAATCTCCGAAACGGCGAGCGATCAACGAAATGAATTTCACGCGGGTTTGTTGTAGTCTTCTTTCCTGGCCAAAATAATCCACACGAAATTCACTCCGAAATCGGGAACGAAATTCTGCAGGACAGCCCGGCCCATCCCATTGTGTTCAGAGCGAAATCCGCTCTGCGATGTTGACACCACGATCTGTCCTGTCCTGATTAAACAATAGAAGGACCCCTAACCCTTTGGGAGGGACCTATAGGATAGGAGGGCCAAAAACATTAGGGATAGGGGGTCTGTTCTGCAGATGCGTCAGACCAAAACCGTCCAGGCATACGTATTGCCCCAAGTGGGGGTTGGCTTGTTTCTCGTGCTCTCTGTGATGCCCCTCCCGCGCAGCCTGGCAGCGCTCTGGCCTGCAGGGCCCCGCTCTCTCCAGTGGGGCCCGAGCTGCGGCCCCGCCGCGAAGCCATTGCGCCACGGGGGGCCGCCGCGAAGCCCGCGCCCTGGGCCCGGCCGTGGCGCACCCCCCCGCTGCAGGGCCTGCGACCGCGGGGCCTTTTGGCACTCCGCGGCCCCCCGGGGGGCTCGGGGATCTGTACTGACCCGGGTCGATCCAAACCCGGACGAGTCGGGTTTTGCAGGATCCTGCCCGATCCTTTTGGACGCCTGAAGTGGGTACGGAAAGAATGGGCACAATGCCCAACAGCAAATGTTCTCCCGAACCAACAGCGGCCGCTGTTGTGCAGGCGGCCTTCTGTCTCGAATGGACACAGGCCGCGGCGGCGCGGACAGCAAGTTTGGTTCAAAATGAACCAGATCCGCTGTTGGGCATTGTACCCATTCTTTCCGTACCCATGTCGGGCGTCCAGATCTGCTGACCCGGGTGGATCCAAACCCTGGCCAGTCGGGTGTTGCAAGAGCCTGCCCCATCCTGGTCAGTGCACCCCTGGCTCTGCAGGATCCTGTAAGACCAGGCACTCTGGCTGACCCCCGCTTGCTTTGACCCCCGTCTCAGGGCTCCCGACGGGAGCTCCTGGCCCCTTCCCCGGGACAGAGCAGGACAAAGAAAACGCGCGTTGAAGGAGCTGCTGCGTTCAAGGTGCTCCGGGCTTGCCCTCCGGTGCACCGCGCGCGCGGGTTTTCAAGGTTGGGTTTCTTGCGAGGGTTTCTTGGGGTCGCTCCCGCACTGTAGACGATGAGCGGCGGAGGGCGGCGGACAAGGGGGGCGAGCATGACGTCCACCCCTGTTCCCCAGAAGAGGCCGTCCCACAGAGGCCGTCATGTCATACACCAGCCCTTTCCCGGTGGACCTTAGGAGGGGTCCTACTGGGTATTCCAAGAGAGCCGCGCCCTCTTAGAGCGCACCGTACGTTAGGGGGAAACAATTAGTGGACACTCCCCCGCTCCACCAAACTCAGAGTTGGCATGCGCAGGGGCGACTGCGGTCGAAGTGCAACTCATCAGACCCACCGCCAACTTTGAACATTGGGGGGAGAGGCGTCGACCGATGACTGTGGCATGGGTGTTCGCTTTTTTTCCGAGGTCTGTAGGACCCCTCCCTCTGGCGGCGGCAGCAACTCCATGGTATTGGACGCCCGAAATGTGTACGGCAAAAATGGGTACAGTGCCCAAAAACAGATGTTGTCCACAACCAGCAGCGGCCGCTGCTGGGCAGGCGGCTTTTCTGGTTTCAGTGAGCAACTGCCGCGGCGGCGCGGACAACACCTCCTGCCCAAAGTGAACCATGCCCGTTTCGATCCTCCCGGGTAGAAGCACCGTAGGACCCCTCCCTTCGGCGGCGGCAGCCGCTCCTTGGTGTCCCGCCGGCTCTCCGCCCCGCCCTCGCCCACCCCGGCGCCGGCCTGCGGCTGCATGCCGGCGGGCGTGGGCGCGCCCGCCGGGGCGCTGCCTCGCCGGCGGGTCAGATCGGGAGTTGGGCCTCGTGCGGCCCCTCCCTCCTCCCCCTCCTCCTCCATTCCTTCTTATAGATGACTCGTCCCTGTCGCACCCCGAGGCCAGTTTTTAGGGCGGGCCGGGCGGTTCGCCTGAGGCTTCCTCACCATTTATGACTCTGAAGCTGAACAATTGACAACAGTTTCATAGATGGAGGGCGGATGGCTTTCAAAATGTGGCTCTCGCCTTTGCGCCGCGCACATTCTTTGTAAAACCTGCAAGAGTTTCACAGATTGAGGGCGGGTCGTTTTCAATATGTGGCTCTCGCCTTAGCGCCGCGCACATTCGTTCTAAACAGTTCCAAGAGCTTCACGGATTGAGGGCGGGTGGTTGTCAAAATGTGGCTGTCGCCTTCGCGCCGCGGGGATTCGTTGTAAAAATTTGCCAGAGCTTCGCGGATTGAGGGTGGGAGGTTTTCAGAATGTGGCTGTCGCCTGAGCGGCGCGCGGATTCGTTTTAAAATTAGCCAGAGTTTCACGGATTGAGGCCAGTTCCTTTTCCAAATGTGGCTCTCGCCTTAGCGCCGCGCACATTCGTTTTTGACAAAGTGCAAGAGTTTCGCGGATTACCATGATAAAACGTACCAAAACACATGTGTTGGAAGGACTCAGGACTATGCAGGCACAACAGTTATGTTGATTCGCGGTTTTGAAATAAAAAAGCGTTATGGCACGATTCCAGATCGCCAAAACGCAGCAGTCAAGTTGATACGTGGCGTTGAAATCCCGAGAACAATGTTTTGGCATGCGTCGGGATCTTCAAACGGTTGTCTTCCAACGAGGCAGTTCCCTCAATGGAAATGAACCGTTGTAGGGGCCCATGAAGAGGGAGCTTAGAGGGAGGGTTAATTCCAACATAGTTGATGACTCTTGGGTTTACACTGGTCCTCCTCCTCCTCGTCGTCCTCCCTCCTCCTCCTCCTCTCATCCTCGTCCTCTTCTCCTCCTCTAATCCTTCTCCTCCTCCTCCTCCTCCTCGTCCTCCCTCTCCTCTTTTCCTCCTCTTCCTCCTCGTCCCCCTCCTCCCCATCCTCGTCCGCCTCCTCTTCTCCTCTCCTTCTTGTCCTCCTCCTCATCGTCCTCCTCGTCCTCCTCGGTGATGCGGACAGTGTCGAGCAATCGTCCCGATGCCCTCGTCTCGTGGTCGTGGTCGTGGTCGTGGTCCTCCTCCACCTCCTCCTCCTCCTCCTGAATCAGCTCCTGAGGAGTGGTCAGGACCATATGATATTTGGCCGTCAAAGCTCTGTGGTGGAGCCCTGGACCATCCCAAGGCGGAGCTGCGCGATTCGTCCTAAGACCGCGGCGCTGCGAGGCGTGTGGTTTGTGAACGGTGTGAGCGTTTCGTGACGGCCAACCCCTCGCGCACCCTGAAGAAAGAGTGCCGGCCGGCCACTCACGAGTGCGGGGAGAGAGGTGCTGTCGCGCCTTGCTCGTGGACTCCCCCCACCGTCGGCCACTGAGTTCCCTGATCGGTGAGCGGTAACTTAAGCGACCTCCCAAAAGGAGGCCGGAGCTTACGACATAATGAGAATGACAATTCTCCTCCCCCGTCTACTCCTCAGCCTCCTCATCCTCGTACTCCTCCTCCTCCTCCTCTGGGGTATCGCCTCTCCGACAGGCCAGGACCAGCCAGCGCCGAATTTCAAGAGCGGCCTCGTTCGACCCCTCCTCTTACTCCGGGCAGGGGAAACGCGTGCGTAAAAATAAGCTTTTGGAGCTCCGCGCAGACTTCTTGGCTCTGCGCCAGGCCCCCCTGGAGGCGCCTCTGGCGCCGCGCGCTCCACGCCCCATGGAGGGGGGTCAAACGCCGATCCAAAAAGTCCGCGCAGACCTCCGAAAGGTTCTGTCTATTCAGTTGTTCCTTCTTCGATCCTTCTCCTCCTCCTCCTCCTCCTCCTTCTCCTCCTCCTCCTCCCCCATGGAGGAGGAGCAGAGGTCCCCCTCCTCTCAGCATCGCGAGACCTCCTCCGCTGCCCAGTAGGCCAGGGTGCCTCAACACCACCAACAGCGGATCGCGACCTCGGATTCGATCGGAACGCGCACCGGATGGGGCCGCATATGGCACGGGGCCCGAGTCGAACTGGAACGGCCGCGCCCAGGATGCACGGCGGCGCCGTGCAGGCATCTAGCGAGAATCGGAGTCGAATCGGATCGGGCAGGCAGAACCTGATATTGAATCGGATCGATCAAATCGAAGTGTACCCTACGGGGGGGGTCCGACCTCGGCTGGCCCATGTCGCTGCTGCTGCCGCTGCTGCTGCTTGGTCGTCTCGGGTGGGCTATCGCTGTCTGTGGACGGCGTGAAGGCGGCAACGCATGTCGTCGTCGCGGTCGGGAACCTCTCGCTCGCGCTCTCCGTGACTGCCTGTTGGTGTGCAGAGCCCATCATTCAACCCCATCTCGCTCATCGCGAAGGGGTTCATTATTCCACTCCACAGCCCCCACCCCACCCCTCTACTCCCCGTCCTCCCTCGTCCTCCTTCCCCCCCCGCAGAGAGAGAGAGAGAGAGAGAGCACGTCTCGACGCAACAACCATCGTTCGCCGTTCCTCCCATCCCACCTCCCACCCCTTCCCACTCCGCCCTCCACACTCCGCCCCCTCCCCTCCCCCCACCGCTCCTTCTTTTCCTCCTCCTCCTCCTCCTCCTCCTCCTCTTCTTCTTCCTCCCCCTCCTCCTCCTATCCTCCTCCTCCTCCTTCGAGCCTCGAGCGCCTCGAGCCGCGGACAACTGTCGAACGATGCGATGCCCCGATGGCCCTCCTCCCAGCCGGTGATGGCAGAGGGTAAAACTCAGGGATGGACAGAACCCCCTTTAGTAAAACGTGGTTTAGTGAAAACGACCTCGGGCCCGAAACTTGCAGGCGCAAGCCAGGAAAATGACAGCACCGGCGCCCTCTCGAGAACCGCAAACGGACAATTCACTAGTCGACGTGTCAGGGTGGGGCTTCTGTCCATCCCCGAAGAACAAGCGAGACCAGCAGGTGGAGAGAGGAGATGGCACAGCTGGGCGGCGGAGCGGATCGCTTCAAAGGGGGGGGGGCGGGGGGAGCGGGTGGGGGCGACCCCTGCGCCACTGGCTGGACCCCGCCGCTGCAGAACCCCCCCCTGCCAGAGTGCTCGGGGATCTTCTGACCCAGGTCAGTCCAGACCCGGGTCAGTCAGGCGTTGCAGGATCCTGCAAGATCCTGCAGGATCCTGCACCCAAGCCCAGGTCACTGCACCCCTGCATGGTCCTACAGGATCCTGCAAGATCCTGCGAGATCCGGCGCTCTGACTGACCCCGTTTGCACTGACCCCCGTCTCGAGGCCCCCGAGGGGCGCTCCGGGAAGGGCCCCCCGGGGGTCGACCTTCGATGGATGAGGCGCTGCTCCCCCTCGAGGGCTCACCTTCGAGGGGCGCGGGGGTCGATCTTTGAGGGGAGTCGCCCTTCGATGAGCTCCCCGCAGGGGGGCCTTCTCGGGTGGGGTCGACCTGCGAGGTCTCCGATGACTTCGTGTCTCGCCGCGTCGCCGCCGCAGGGGCTCCCAGAGGCTCCCGCGGGCTCCTCCCGGAGCTTCCAATGTGACCGCCTACCAGACCACCCCAACCCGACCCAAAGTCCCGAATTTCGGGTCGGGGGGGGGGGTACGGGTTGCGCATGTGTTTTCTCAATGTTCCCGACGCCGCCCCCCCCCCCACTGGAAAGGGAGGGCCAATTGAGGGGGGGGGACCGGGTTCCATCTGTGTGTGTGTTCTTGATGTTCCCCAACGCCCCCCCCCCCCCCCCACACTGGAAAGGGAAGCAATCTGCGGCCTTCGGGATGGGTCGGGGTGGTTTTGGTGGGTGGTGATGACAGAAGGGCCCCAAGGGCTCCCAGGACAGAACAGGACCTTCTCAAGGGCTTCCAGGGGCCCCGGAAAGACCCCAGGGGCTCCCAGGAGCTCCCAGGGATCCCCATGCGGGTCCCAAGTCTCTCCTCTCCTCGCCGCAGGCATGCCTGCGGCTCGTTGCCTCGCTGGCTCTCGTCCGCGTCACTGCGCCCCTCGCCCAAGCCCTTCTGGAGGAGGGCGCGAGGGGTGGAGAGGGAGGCGGTGGATCGGCACGCGTCCTCGCCAACTGGGCATCAAAAGCGGCGACGTCGGTGACACTATGGGCGGAGGTCCCCACCCTTTCGATCGGTTGGGGTCTCCTGGATCGAGGCACGTCTAAATCCGCGGGCGCCGAAGGGTCCATGACAGCCAGACGCCGGTCAGCAAACCGTGCGGTGCACTGGGAGCGAATTGAGGCGCGAAGGCGAGGCGAAAGAACAGGAACAGAGCGCGGGGGGGAGAGGGAGCGGCCCGCTCAGACCATCAAAGCCCGCGAGGGGATGCCGCAGATCTTGCATGCGAGCTGCGTAGGAGCCGCGGAGGCCGAAGACAGCTTGACACGCAAGGCCTCGAATACATCGAGACGCAAGGTCAGGGCGACGACGACGAAAAGCAGCGGCAAAGAGGCCAGGTTAGAATGCGGCGGCGCGGGGAGTGGCGAGGTGGGACGACCAGCGCCCTTCGCGATGAGAGTGGAGCGGCAAGTGGTAAATCGGATCGGCGCCTTGTTGTTTGTTTAGCTATGCCTCTTCGGCGGTAAGCAATGGATATAGATGGGCAGGCACGTAGGTTCCGAGCCGGCTCACATATATAAAAGACCCAGGTAGCAACTCCCAAGAAATCCTCGTGCGCACGGTCAATAATCATTAAGCGGCATGGAGAACCGATTGAGCCAGAAGTTGAATCCGGACAAGGGCGGATTTGCACAAAACAGATTGCCAGGGCCGAGGAATGGTTCAACCTCCCAGGAGTTGCAACCTGACATGATCTGACGCTCTGTGCGATTGTCTGGGCCACCGCAAGACCGCTCCACGACGGGGCGGCAAAGAGAGAGTGCTCAAGAGTCCGAGGCTGTTCCTGCCTCGGCTGTCACTCCCAAAACACGGGGATATCAAAATCCGAGGATCAGATCCGACCCATACGGACACAAAAGCGCTTCACTCGGGCATCCGTGCCGAATATCAATGCATGCCCGAACGCTCTACGCTCGAGGCACCACGCACCTTCATTAAGAAGATCAGTTGCCGTGGCAGCCGGAGATCCATAGCCTGCCCAGCTCGTGCAACCGTGCAACGAAGCTACTACGACCTGTGACCCCTACCCCAGTAGGTCAGATTTCTGAAACACGGACGGGATGTCAGAATGTGAGTGATGTCCGCCGCCGAGGTAGCCCGAACGAGGGTTGTCCGATACCCGAGCAGTGTTTGAACCCGCAGGTGTACGGTTCGTAAGCGGTCGCAGGGCAACGTCCTATTTCTATGCTCTGCAACAATATGTTTCGTTGAGGGGAGCTGGAAGGGGGGGGACTGGCAAAGGGGAGGTGAAATGACCAGCAAAGCCGATTCATCGCCGAGTATGCACCCAGGGCCTGATTGGCTATGCATGGGTGCAGGGGGGCCAATGCTTCCACTCCCCCTCTGAGCCAGGCCCACCTGGCAGCGACCCGGAAGACCTCTCTGCTCGTCTCCGCCGCCTTTCGAGGAGCTCTGGCGGCACAGGAATAGGAAGGCACTGCGCCGGCCCCAGACCTCCAACGTCGTGGTTTTGTCGCAGCGTGCCCCCAGAGGTCTCTGGCACTTTTCCCGAGCAGCAGCGCTTCATCCCCAAAAAGGTAGGGGAACAAAGAATGACATAAACACTAACTTTCGGAAATCCACGCGGATTTCTCAGGTCGTCGCGGGACCCGCCCCTTGCGCGCGGAGCGTGCAAGGGCAAGGGGCAGCGCCGGAAGCGCCGCCAGGGGGATCCAGCGACGATCCGAGAAATCCGCGCGGACCTCGGAAGGTTTATGTTTATGGCACTGTTTGTTCCTCAAAACTTGGTTGACGGTCCTGGTGCTTTGCGGGGGGCCCTGGAGACAGAGCGCCTTTCGAAGAAGCTCCGCCAGAGTCCGCCCATGGCGAGACGCATTCTACACGGGCGTCTGGGGTAGATGCTGCAGGGGGCGCCGCACCAGCGCACGTAGAGGCCTCCTAGATGGGATACGAGGTGGGGTCGGAGGATCTCGCCGCATCGCAGATACATCGGCGATGCATCGGCGACGCATCGGCCATGCACTGGCGACGTCGCCGATACATCCCCGACGTCGGTGTGGAGAAAATTGGGCCCCGCATCGAGCCGCATCGCCGATGCATCGGCGATGCGGCACGATCCTCCGACCCCCTCTACTCTGGCCCCATCTAGGAGGCCTAGAGCACGGCTGCCAATGGCGCGGGCAGCACCCCAGCAAATCGCCTGGTCGTCAGCCCAGCAGGGTGGCCCAGCGTCAGCGACGCGGCGGGTGATGCGCAAGGGCGGGGAGAGCGGGGCGGGACCAGGAATGGCAGGCGGATGGAGGCAAGGATTAGCGGAAAGGGACCCAGGGAGGCAGAAGTGAATAGACACACATTCCAGGATTCCCATTCAACAAAAGTTGTTTGATATTTCCCGTCCCCTCGATGTCCTCTTTTCGAGGTTTAGAAAGCGTGGACACCAAACAGTGTGCTTCTTGCACTGTACGTGGTACTATCCATGTTGCGTGGTGCAACATATGTGAAGCAATATATGTTGAACAATATACTTGGTGCAATATTCGTGGTCCAACAAACCTGTGCAATCCATGATGTGCAGTCTTTGTGGTGTAAAATGTGCTGTGCAATGTATGTACGTGTATGTATATGTGGTGCAACATGTGCTGTGCAAACTATGTGGTGCAATATATGCTGTGCACCACATGCGGTGCAAGCGATATTTGGCAACACAGAACACAAAAGGCGATACAATGCAAAGCAAACAGGCGGCATGGACGGGGCGACGACTGCGGTAATACGGCCGCAAGACCGACAGCCAGGCCCAGACAGTGGGTGGCGAGGAGGCGGCGACGGGGCGGGGACGGCGACGACATAGCAGTCAGAACGACAGACAGGCCCCAACGATGGGCGGCAATGAGGCGGCGACGGGGCGGCAATGGCGGCTACATAGCCGCCAAGCCAGCAGCCAGGCGCAGACGACGGGCGGCGACGAGGCGGCGACGGGGCGGCGACGGCGACGACATAGCCGCCAGACCAACAGCCAGGCCGAGTTACTCAGACAAGAAGAAACCCTGAAGAAACCTTGAAGTACAAGCACTGTTTGGGAAATAGCCTCTCGGAGATAAAACGTTTATTTGTGTATGCTTCTACTTGCCCCTACTGGTAGAAGAAACTGCATAACGCACAAACTGTCGGAGATCCGCGCGGATTTCTTGGATCGGCGAAAGACCCCCGGCGGCGCCTCCAGCGCCACCACTGGCGCGCTCCGCGCGACATGGTAGAGGGCGCTGGCGCCAATTCCAAGACGTCCGTGCGGACCTCCGAGAGCTTCTGCTTGTATTTTCCCGTCCTCGAAAGGTCAAGGGCAGGAGGACGGAAAAGGGAGGGCGGACTGAGAGGAGAGGGGGAGCAGGGGGAGGGGCAAGGCGAGAGCTCGGTCTGGCTGTGCAGGCCTCTGCCCCGCCTGCCGATCCTTCGCTCGGCAAGAGGCTCGCCGACAGCCGAGGTCCCCTCCCCCTGGGAGGGCAAACGCCCCTGCGCGCGCCAGGGGGGTGTTATTCGGGAGGGCCCGCGGGGGCCACCAGGGCGCCAGCTTGCGAAGCAAGGGTCTCTGCCCGTGCCCAGCGCCTGGGGAACTGGCGTAGTGCCCTGGGACCCAGGGGGGGAGGCGGGTACACAGATGGGCCCCAGGAGGCGAGGCGAGGCGAGCGCGCGATGTCGCTCTGGCGGGACCGGCCCTCAGAGGGTAGCGCGGGGGGCCCAGACCCCTCAAGGGACGTGTTGGGGGCAGGAGTCGGAAAATGGGAGCCGGAGTCGGGAAGATGGAAACCGGAATCGGAAAGACGCCCAGTTGCAGAGAGATGGGAGCTCGAGTAGGAGAGATGGGAGCCGGAACCGGAGAGATGGGAGCCGGAGTCGGAGCATTGGGACCCGGGAGGCCCGGATATGTCCCGATCAGCCGCCCCCCGAGGCCCAATCGACCTGCCGTGCGGCGGGCAAAGTCCTTCCTCGGAGCCAGGATGCCCCGCAGGAGGGCCCGCGGAACAGAGGCCGCAGGGAAAGCCCCAGGCGGGCCCTCGAGGCGGCCAGGGAGGGCCCCGAGAGGCGCCAGGAGGGGGCCTCGGGGGGGCCCGAGGGACCGCGGGCCCACGGGGGACTTCGGGCTGCCCGGGAACTTTCGGGCCAAGACGGCGAAACTGACCCAGAGGACATCTGGAGAGCCCCATGGCGGCAGCCGAGAGCTGCCGCCCAAGAGGGCGCTTCTCCCCTTCCCCAGCCCCGTGCTCCTCCTCCTCCTCCTCCTCCTCCTCCTCCACCTCCTCCTCCTCCTCCTCCACCACCTCCTCCTAACAGTCGGCCACGTCCTCTTCCTCCTCCTCCTCCTCCTCTCCCCTCTCCTCCTCCTACTAAACTCACCTCCTCACCCCTCCTCCCCTCTCCCCCTCCATCTTCCTCCTCCTCCTCCTCACTCCCTCCTCCTCTCCTCCTCTCCTCTCCTCCTCCTCCTCCTCCTCCTCCTCCTCCTCCTCCTCCTCCTCATGACTCCTCACTCCTCATCCTCACTCCTCACTCCTCACTCCTCACCCGTCCCCCTCCTCCTCCTCCTCCTCCTCTCCTCCTCCTCCTCCTCCTCCTCCCTCCTCCTCCTCTCTCCTCCTCCTCCTCCACCCTCCTCCTCCTCTCCTCCTCCTCCTCCTCCTCACTCCTCACTCTCACTCCTCCTCTCACTCCTCCACTCCTCACCCGTCCCCTCCTCCTCCTCCTCCTCCTCCTCCACCTTCCTGATCGTTACCCTCCTGGCCCTCGCCATCCACTTCCTCCCCCTGCTCCTCCAACTCCTCCTTCAGCTCCATCATCGTCTCTCCCCTCCCCTTCCCCTCCTCCTCCTCCTCCTCCTCCTCCTCCTCCTCCTCCTCCTCCTCCTCGTCCTCTTCCTACTGCTTTCCTCGCCTCTATCGCCCTTCTTCTCATTCTGTCCTTCCCCGTCTCGCCTCCTCCTTGTGGGCCTGTTCCTATTCCTCCTCCTCCGCCTCCTCATTCTCGCCTTCCTATTCTCCTCTCCCGCTCCTGCTCAACATCCTCAAAGAACGCCTGCCGGGGACCACTGCAGTCTCAAACTGACCAAGAGGTCGGCGGATGTAGCGTCAGCCTCAAAGGTCAACCGATGTGCCTCAGGCTGGCCGAACTGGGACTCCCGCAGCCTCTTTCAGCGAAGGGCCCGCACTGCACACGCCCAGGGCACGTGCTTCTCCTAGGTCTTGAGCCACGCGCCCGCATCTCCGCTCTGCTCGATCACGAGGACGAGGACGCTGTTGCACAGAGGCTTCAGCGCTCTCATCCAGACCGCCCGCAGGTGATCGACGTCTGCCGGCGGGCACCCGCGGAGCGGGTCGATGGCCACGAGCACCCGCACCGCGCCCAGCGAGATGCGGTAGAGGGCCTGTGCGAGCTGCACCTGGAAACGCTCCGGCACGGTCATGACGGAGGCCCAGGTGGTGCTCTCGATGCCGAACGGGATGTTCATGGCCTTCCTGGAGGGAGGAACAACTGCATAATCATAAGCTTTTGAAGGTCCGCGAAGGTTTCTTGGATTTGCGCTGGGACCCCTTTGTGGCGCCTCCGGCGCCGCCACTGGCGCGCTCTGGGGAGGGGGTCCAGGGCAGATCCAGGAAACCTGCGCGGACCGTCAAACAAATGTGTTTACGTATGCAGTTTTTGCTCGTCGACTTCCTCTTGATGCCTGCCTTGTCCAAGCACATGTCCAGTGGGTCTCCAAGGTCCAGGCTGCCGAGGCCGAGCTGCACGAAGTCAGACAGCGTCTTCCCTTGCCCAGCATTCGTCGCTATGTTCGAGGGGAAGGGGGCATGGTCAATGATGTGCAGGACCCAAGTCAGCATGAGCGCCTCGTACTGCTCAATGTGCTGACCGTTCAAGATCACGCGCGCGGGGGCAGGATGCATGCGCAAGAGCACCTTGGCAAAAGACGTGGCTCCAGAGCCGCGCGGCATGGACATCACGTTCAGGCGACCCAGGCCAGCAGACTCCAGGGCCGGCACGTGCGCAAAGGGCCCGAACTCAGGGGAGCCCCCCACGGAGAAGGTGAAGGCTGCGGGCACCTGCAGCTTGACGCTCTGCATGAAATCGTCCCCGATGGTGGAGATGCCGTCGAAGCGCGAGGCGATGGCCATCAGCGTCGTCTGCCCGAGCATGAAGAAGCGCTCCAGGGAGCCCACGCCGGCCACGGCCGCCGTGAAGCTGGCGCAGAGGCGCCTCACAGCGCTCAGCCCCACCGAGAGGGCCACCGCCTGCACCGAGTAGCTGCCGGAGCACCCGGGCGCTCCGCCCGCCTTCGCGTCGAGGAACTCGGGGAGCACCACGGTCAGGCAGGCGATCTCGACGTACTGCAGGAACAGGCTCACGACCTCCTCGAGGACGGCCATGTTCTTGCGCTCCACCAGGTTTGCCGCCTGTGTCTCGGAATAGGCAGCAATGGCTGCGCCGGTCTCTTCTGGCATCGCCTTCATCTCGAATATCCTCGTCAATGCCGAGTAGGATTGGAAATACGTGAAGCCCACCATGCTCCTGACCATCCGCGAGCGAACGCGCAGGGCCAGGCTGGACACAAGCGAAGTGGCAAGCATCAGCACCACGCACGCCAAAATTGTGAGCATAGCGTCTGAGATGCTCGGTGTGAAACAGCCGTGTGGCACCTGCCACAGCAGCGCCAAGGCAGCACCGACGATCATGAACGCATCTATAAAGATATCGTTGATGCTCTTCAAGCATGCGGCCAACGCGCGGGAGTCACCAGTCAGGCGAGCCCAGAATTCCGGGAACAGGCGGATGGTGAAAGCGTCCAAACGCATGTTGATCAGAGCCAGGAACATTGAACGGAACGCGTGGTACAGCGACTTGTTGATGGCGATATTGAATTGGACGCAGCTTGCCACGCTGAAGAAGGCCGCAGCCAACAGGTAGTAAACCGACAGCCGCCTCTTAATCACAAGTAAATAGAGCACAGCTGCCACGCAACTCAAGAAAAGAGCAATCCCGAAGTCTCTCCAGCCTGGCCGGATCAGTCGAATGACATGGCTTACAGTCTTTGTGATGGTGAGCTTCCCAAACAAACTCTGTCGTAGCATGGGCTCGTCTGCATCATCCAAGGCAGCTTCTTCCTCGAACTCCACGCTACCATTCGCCCGGATCAACGACAACACTTCAGCCGTCCGCCTTTTGCTCTCAGCCGCCACCGCCTGGCCCAGTTCAATGCGGTGATTTCCGGCTGCGTCCCGAGCTTGCGTGTCACTGTAGGTGCCTCCAGCAACAACCTCCGCTCTCCGACCTTCTCGATTTCGAATGTGCCCGTCGGAACCTACACGTATAGCACGCATGTCGTGATTCACTCCGGCACGGAGGTGGTCGCGAGTGGTGTGGCCAGTGTTGCCGCCCAGCCTGATGGAGTGCAGGAAGAGGCTTCGGGCATCATCAGAATCCTGAATCTTGTACTCCATGGTGTAGCTTGTGTCCAGCACCGCCCGGTGCCAGCGGAAATCTCGGAACAGGTTCACGCGGCTGCGGGCGTGCTGCTCCGCGTATTTGGCCTCCTTCCAGATCTCTACGGCGCGAGAATCAAGCTCCCCATCTGGCTCAAGCCGGTAGCCGTGCTTTGAGAGTGTTTGGTTGACGTGCGCGTAGCATTCACCCCATAAGACATGCGGGTACTGCTGACGGTCCAAAAAGCCCCACTGCACCAGCTGAGTGTATGCTTGCATGTACTGCTCATTATTCTTCATCTTGCTGAAAACCTGGAACTGTGCTGTCTTCGACAGCTTGGTCGACTGATGGTATTTCATTGTGGCTTCGTCCATCTCGACCTGATTTGCTCGACCCCGTATCTGAGAGACGAGGGCACGCGCCAAGGTCCTGGCTGAAGATATGACCTGGCAGGCTGATAAATGCACAGGGCTTCATCAAGGAGCCTTTGGCAACTGAGGCGGGTACTTGCACGTGAACTTCTGGGGGCCTCCATCTGGCCCGTTCCACAAAACCCTGGACCAGAGCAGGTTGACGCCTCGCTTTTACTTCCGCCGCCGTTTCGCTTCCGTCGAGCTTCCGCCGCCGTTTTACTTCCGCTGGCTTTCGCCGAGTGCAAGACACGCCGAAGGCGAGGCCTCTTCTGGAACACCTCCTCTGGGAAACCGCGACCGCGGGAATACCCTTACGCGGCCACTCGCGCGCGAACGTCCTCGCATTCACAAACGCCTTTTTTCCAGCGGCGCGCCTGGCCGGCATCATCCAAGCAGCTCTGCGCGGGGTCGCGCACCACGGCGTTGGTTCCAGAGATCCAGTGCTCACGGCACACTTTGCTGTTGACGAGGAGGACTCGGCCCTTGTCGTCCGAGAGGACAATGCACTGATTCTGTGTCAAATCTCTTGTAGCAATCGTCGTGGCAAGAGTGTCAAACGTGTACTCTACGTCTGGGGCCTCCACGGGAATCCACTCACGTGCCCCCTGCAACGTTGAGGCGCGGAAGAAGGCCAAGAGCTGTCTGGTAGAGCTCTATAATCTAATAAGGACACGCCCTCCCTCTACCAGCAGACTGCTGTTTGCATCCCCCCACTCACCGAGGCCACGTCCATCGCGCCCGCTCGAGTATGTTGCACTTCCCGCATGGCAGCTCATGCCTATCCCCCTTCCACGCGCGCCTGTTCAAAGGATGATGCAATTCCCGCATGGCAGCTAATGCCTGACCTTCCCTTCCACGCGTGCCGGTCGAGGATGGAGCACTCCCTGCATGGCAGCTCATGCCTGAACCCTGATTCCATGCGCGCCCGCTCGAGGATTGCTCACTTCTTGAGTGGCTGCTACATCCTAGACCTCTAATCCTACGCGCACCGCCTAGGCGGATCTCTGTGCGGATCCCTGCGCGGATACCTATGCGGAATCTTACGCGGATCCCGATGCGGATGCCTATGCGGATGCCCATGCGCATTGCCATGCGAATCCCTACGCGAATCCCGATGTGGATCCTTACGCGCAACCCTATGCGGATCCCTATGAGATTCCCAATGCAGAGCAGACTCCTATGCGGATACCTATGTGGATCCCGATGCACACGGCGGCAATGCCCTGAACGCACTGGGGGGGGAGCGTTCCGGCATAGGAGGAGGGCCGGGGATTGTAACGCCCGTTATGCCCCAAGCAAATAAAACACGCTCCTTAGAATACACTTCGACTGCCGAAGACAGGGCCAAGATGGCCCCACGACGGCCCCAAGACACCCCCCATACGGTCAAGAGGTCCCCAAGACGGGCCAACGGACCCCAAAGGACCCCCAAGACTGCCTCACAAAGGCCAAGACAGCCCGCAAGACGGCCCAGACGGGTTTCATAACCATCATCATCAACATCGTCATGAACACCACCATCGGCATCATCATCACTACCATCACCGTCATCATCGGCCATCGACCATCGACCATCGGCCATCGACCATCATCACCATCATCATAATCAGCATCATCAGCATCAACATCATCATCATCAGCATCATCATCAGCCAGCATCAGCATCATCCTCATCATCCTCCTCCTCATCCTCCTCAGAATCCTCATAATCACCATCAGTATGATCATCAGCATCATCAGCATCATTATCATCATCAACAGCATACTCATCATCAGCATCCACAGTATCATCAGCATCATCATCATCGTCATCATCAGCAGCAGCATCATCAGCATCATCATCACCATCATACATGCCAGCATGTACTCACCACCATCGTCATCGTCAGCATCATCGGTATCAGCAGCAGCAGCAGCATCAGCATCAGCATCAGCATCATCATCATCATCATCATCAACATCATCATCACCATCATCATCAGCATCATCATCATCATCACCATCATCATCATTATCATCATCATAATCATCATCATCATCCACATCATCATCATCATCATCATCATCATCATCATCATCATCATCATCATCATCATCATCATCATCATCATCATCATCATCATTCATCATCGTCATCATCACTAGCATCATCATCATCATCATCATCATCATCATCATCATCATCAGCATTACCATCATCTTCAGCATTATCATAATCATCAGCGTCGTCATCATCACAATCATCACCATCATTATTACCATCCTCCTCCGCATCATCACCATCGACTGCCACCATCGATTGAAATCATCATCAACATCCCCAACATCAGATCCGAATTCCCATAATCCACATCACGGCTCTCCCAAACCTGGAGGCGCGAGGTTTCACAAGTGACGGCCTCCCGTGCCCACTCGAGCAATCACAACTCAAAATGCTGGACTGACACGGTGGCGGGACTTACCGCAGGCATCAGGATATCCCCGATTGTGAGCCCTGCGTCAACAGCTGCCTTCATGTCGGCTTTCTTACTCTCCTCACCATCGCGGAGAAAATAGATCAGGTCGATATCGTTGAAGCCTGCGATCTCTGCCTCCAGCGTGGGGTTGCCACGCGGCAGGCACGCGAGCTTGCCCACAAGACGTGCGATGCCGCCCTTGTAGCCCATAAATGGGCGCTGCAACACGAACTCGAGAAGCTCCTTCAATGGCACTGTGATTTCCCCGCTAGTCACACATTCAAAATCCGCTATGTCTAGAACTGTCACCTCCAACACCTCACTGTCGAGCGGATGTCGCTCTGGGTGCACCATCCGGAGCTGCCCCAATGCCACTGTGCGGTAGACATCCCAAGGCATCGGGCGTGGCCATCGAGGACGTCGCCACCGAAAGCTGCACATGAGAACAAGAACGATGAGAGCGCTGAAGGTTAAGGCGATGAGCGAGACATCGAGATTCGCATGGGCTGGCGGCTCAAGGCCCGTCCGCAAAAAAACATAAACCGCGTCAACATTGCTTGGATTTGGCATTCTGCTGACGGCACTGACACAGCACACACTAGCGCATGGTAGATGTGAATGCACAGCTGCCCCAACCCGGCGGCGCTGGTAATGAGCCGACACGGCTACATGTGATGATGGCAATAAACACAACGAAGACGAGCACACATATGAAAATGATGACAACGATGGCAAAAAGGGAGATAATTACCGCGATGGCGGTGACGATTAGAATGAAGATGCCGACGACAATGATGATAATGATGACAATATGACGTCCGTGGTCATGGCGATACACATGAGGATGAAGACGACGCCGATGACGACGATGACGAAAACGATGATGGAATTGGTGATGAGTGATGAGTATGGTATTGGTGATGAGCATGATGGCGGCGTTGGCCCACAACTACAATGACGAGCACGTCTATCGCCAAAAATACGCTATGTACGTACGGCGTGCTCGCGAACCTGGATGAAGTCTTCTACAGGCCTGGACGGTCATACCTGTCCTCACCCTCAAACGAGTCCTCTTGCCGATCGCCTACATCAGGAAGGTTGCCAACAATAGTATCCTCGCAAAGGAAGGTCCTGGCGGTCCCGTCAGACGGAAATACTTGTACCCTGGCCTCATTCAAATTTTCCTGTTCATCCTCCTCCTCCTCCTGTCCTTCTCCACGTCCCCCTCCAGCCCCCTCCTCCGATCATCCTGGTCTTGCACGTGTTCCTCCTCACCTGCGCCTCTCATCCTCCTGCTCCCGTTCATCCTCCTCCCTTTTCCTCTCCTCCGTTGTGTTGTTTCTGTTTCTCTCTTTCTCTCTCTCTCTCTCTCTCTCTCTCTCTCTCTCTCTCTCTTCCTCCCTCTCACACAACTACATGTGTACATATGTACGTATAGGCACATGTCTATGTGTATATCTATATAGAAATAGATATGCATTTACTTGTATATTGAGATGCTTGCATATATATATATATATATATGTATACAGGTGTGTGTATATAGATATAGATGTTAGTATAAACAAAAAAACGCCAGCGCGATTGCAGCGGTAAGTGTGTTTTGGGCCCCTTTCGCCCCTTGCGAAGCAATGGTTAAGGCCCCCCGACGCATCGAGCCCAAAGTACGCTAATGTCTGTGACCACGTCCCTGTGTTTCTGGCTTTCCAGGCAGGGAATGTGCTCAACTACACCATTTATACTACCTGGTGTCCGTTACACCTGCCACCCCCCTCCCCCTGCCCCCCGCCAGCCCCTTGGCCCCCGGCCCCTGCCCCGCCCCCCCCCCGCCCGAGCGCAGTGGCGGAATAACGCGGCCGCGCAACTGGATATATGTATCCCTCCACCTCCTGGCTCCCACCCCTGTTCTCCTCCATCCCTCGTCCCTCTTCTCTCTCCTCCTCCTGCTGCTCATCCCTTCCATCCTCCTCCTCAAACGTTATTCGCCCTCCTCCTCCTCCTCCTCCTCCTCCTCCCCACCTTCCCCCTTCTCTCCTCTCTGTTAACCTTCCTCGTGCTCTCCTGTTATGCCTTCTTCTTCCCTCCATATTTCCTCCTTCTCATCCTGCCTACATTCCTCCTCCTCCTCGATCGTTCTCTACCGTGCCTCGCCTCTTCCAACTCCCCACGTTCCTCCTCCCTCTCCTCAGCCATCTCCTCGCCCCTGCTCCTCCTCTTCCTCATCCTCCTCCCCCGCCTCCCACCCTTCCTCCTCCTCCTCCTCCTCCTCCTCCTCCTCCTCCTCCTCCTCCTCCTCCTCGTGCTCCTCCTCGTCCTCCTTCCCGCACTCCTGCCCTCCTCGAACCCGGTCCTCCATCCCTGCCCTACAGCATCCTCCTCCTCCTCCTCCTCGTCCTCCTCCTCCTCCTCGAGCCTCCCTCTCCTCCCTGCTCCCCCGCCCCTTTGTCCACTGTTCGAGTCGGACGAAGAAGGCGGGGGAGGGGAGGGGAAGAGTGTCAAAGGACGGTTAGCGTTAGGTCGGGCATGTCCCCCTACAGGGGATTTTGGACGATTCGTTCATATAAAAACTCAAAGAATGCTCAAATATAGTCAAACCAATCGTGGACAAATCGTTCTCCTGTAGAAAGACAGACCCAACAACAGGTTAGCGGACCGGCGCACGCGGCTGGCCTTCCCAGCTACGGGAGGCGCAAGTGTATCGAGTCGGACACGGCGAAAGGGGCCAACAACCCACGGGCCACGACGATAGGAGTCAGACACGAAAACGTCTTGAAAAATCGCTGAAGCCCTGTCACACAAATCACCGGCCTTCTCGCAATCCATTCGCGCAGGCGCGGAGGCGGCTTCATGCCACACATGATCGCTGCTACCTTTCATGTGGTTGCCAGCCCACGGGTGACCATAGAAGAAGAAAAACGGCATAAACATAAACTTTTGGCGCTCCGCGCGGATTTCTTGGATCTGCGCTGGAGCGCGCCAGGGGCGGCGCGCCGAAGGCTCCGCCGGGGGGGGGCCCAGCGCGGCTCCAAGAAATCCACGCGGAGCGCTAACAATTTATGTTTATGGCGACTTTATCTTCTTGAGTACCCATCGATCGAAAGAAGTAGGTAGAAACATGAAGTAGGAAGGCGTTGACAGCAAATTGGGTGTCCGCCCGCCCCCCAAGGAGTACGGAACAGTTGAAGCCAACCGATCATTGAAGTAGGGAGGCGCTTGAAGTAGAGTGGAATCTGGGAATCCAGGAGCATCCACTTTCAACGACCGAGGGGTACTGCATGTGCCCAGGAGCGCCGATCGCCCACGCCTCCGGCGAGGCTGCCCCGGCGGAGCGCCCCCGGGCGGCTCGCCCCTCGCCCGCCGCCGCCTCTCCAAGAAGGAGATAAGAGGGCGCCCGGCCGGGCGGGGCCGAGGCCGGCCGCAGGGGGGAGAAACTTCGAGCCCCCGCCCCCGTGGCTGACGAACGAGACCCGTAGCCCTTTGGGGGGAGGCCTCCGTCAGGAGGGCCGGGAACAGTACGGGGGGAAGGGGTCTCCGCCGGCTCTCCAGAAAGGATCGGGGCGCCCGGCGGGGCGGGGCCGAGGCCGGCGGCAGGCGGCAGAAGCTGCGAGTCTCCCCCCCCCCCCCCCCCCCTCTGGTTGAGGGGAAGGAGGGAAAGCGCAATGGCATGAACATACCACCTCGGAGGTCCGCGCGGATTCCTCGGATCCGCGCTGGACCCCCCTCCCTGGCGCGCGGAGCGCGCCAAGCGGCGGCGCTGGAGGCGCTGCCAGGGGGGTGCAGCGCGGATCCGAGAAATCCGCGGGGACCTCCGAGTTGTCATGCTTATGTCATTGTTCGCTTCCCTATGATTGGCCCAGAAAGGGCCAGAAAAAAAAGGGCCCCTAATCCTTTGGGAGGGGGCCTCACTTAGGGGGGCCAGGAGCAGTAGGGGCAGGGTGCCTCTTCTGCAGGTGCATCGAACCGAACCGCCCAGAATGAGTATATCCCTAAGGCCAAGACGGGGACCTCAGTGAGGCTACGGCCTCATCGTGTTCTCACGGTCAGGGGTTAGCTAATGCTCAATGACCCTCCCCCGCTCTTCACTGCCTGCAGGATGAGCTCGACCACAAGAAACCTTCCACAAGAAACCCAACCCTGAGACCCGCCTCCCCCCCTTGTCAACGTCTTCTTTTTCGACGTTTCGGTACTGGGCGGAAGAGGGGGGGGGGTCTGGCTCTGGATCTCTGCTTCGTGCGACTGCTTGGAACCGTGCGCCCTCTGGGGGAGACCCCGCCTGCTCGAAGCAGGCGCCAAAAACAGCCAAGAGCTACTCCAAGGGGGGGGGGAGGGTGGAAGGGCCCGCGCCGATTGGCAAAGCAGTGAATCAGAAAACGATCACATTTGCCTTGCCTGCTATAGGAGCTCGACCACCTTCCACAAGAGACCCAACCCTGAGACCCCAGGACACCCACTGATTTTTAGAGTGGGAGCGCCATGCTTTCCAGTGCAACACCATTGAAACCCAAGAAGCCCAGGGCACCCTGGAGGGCAACCAGGGTACTTCTTGGCATGGGTTTCAGGTGTCTGCCCCTCCCCGCTTTTGCCCGGTTCGAACCGCCTCTTTCCCCTCCTCCTCCTCCTCCTTCTCCTCCTCCTCATCCTCTTCTTCTTGTTATTATTATTCCTCCTCCTCCTCCTCCTCCTCCACCTCGTCCTCGTCCTCGTCCTCCTCCTCCTCCGCCTCCTCCTCACCCTCCTCCTCTTCCTACTTCCTCCTCCTCCTCCTCCTCCTCCTCCTCCTCCTCCTCCTCCTCCTCCCTCCCCCACCCTCCTCATCCTCCTCCTCTTCTTCCTCCTCCTCCCATTCCTCCTCCTCCTCCTCCTCCTCCTCCTCCTCCTCCTCCTCCTCCTCCTCCTCTTCCTACTTCCTCCTCCTCCTCCTCCTCCTCTTCCTCCTTCCTCCTCCTGCTTCCAGATGCCCTTCCCAGGACTGGCCCGAGCAAGACCAGCGTGGGTGCAGCTGCACTTGGTCGGGACGGCCCTCCCGACGGACCCCTGCAACCGTCGATCCCTTCCCCAATCCTCCAGCGTTTGAACACATTCGCCGGCCCCCGCTTGTTAGGGTCGGGGGGAACGAAAGGGGGGGATAGCAAAGGATAGGGCAGAGAATCAGCTCACGTAGCTGATTCTCCCAGCGCCTCCCGGCGCCGGGAGGCGCCCGTGCATCGAGGAATGGCCCGGCGGCGGGGCCGAAACCAGCTGCATGCAGCAGATTTCGTACCCCCCCCTCCCTATTCCCCCCCTTCCGTTCGGCCCGATAGGGGTGAGTAAGGTTCCCCCTCCTCCAGGTTCCCCCTCACCCACCTAGGGTCCAG